TTTTTTTTCAATTTTTTTTCTAAATGTCAGGAACATAATTCTTAGGCCTCTCTGTTTTTTTTTTTCTTTATGTCTTGATCAAATTTTTTTGTGGTGTGTAGAAAATGAGGGAAGACACTGCCCGTGCTTTTCACGGTCTGGTTTGCGTTTGTATAAATGTTCGGTTTAGCTATGATTTGCGGAATTCAGAAATGAATGGAGACTTTACGTCTCACATTTCTGCAGCTGCCTTCAATTTTGTTTGAGATGGAATTGTCGCGGGGATCTTTAACGTGCACAGCCTGCAGCACACTGGGCAAAGGTTTTATTGTTCCATTCGCAAGACTGCGCGCCTGTTGAATTTACAGCTTGACTAGATTTGCCTGGTAAGGAAATCTAGAGTGTTGGTCAGTTGGAAAACAGGTCTATCAGCTCTTCAATTATAGAATGAGACTCGCAGAAAATGAAAAAAATAGTTTCATTTTGCTGATAAATATGTTTTTGTCATTCGCAATCTTCTTTCTCTCTACCTTTAGAACTTTCCATGCCTATTTTTGAGTAATTTTTGTTCTAGATTTGGAATTTTGAAATTGCATTATCTTTAAGATTTGGCTAGAGTCTCCAGCCAGGACTCACTCCACCAATTCATTTGCCATCTCTTCCTATGTTAAAACACGAAATTCAACCTTCTATAACTTTTTCCAGAAATCTCGTTGAAAGTTTTCCAATATGTCGAATGAAATCCTGACCAATTCTCAATGTCTCCTAAGAAATTCAATATATGATGGCAAATTTTGAGCTACTAAAATTGAAAGTAGACTACTACCGGTTATACTCATCCGCTTGAGTTTGGCAGTTCTCAAAACGACTATTTTTAGAATTAGCCTTCCGCCTTTAGGTCTCTCATCATCTCATAAAATCTGAAAGATAATGCAATTTCAGACATCAAATTCCGAATCTAGACCAAAAATAGGCATGCAAAAACCCCAAAAGTACGAGAGAAAGAAGATTTCTAAAAATAGCCTGGACTACATTAAAAAAGATTTTGACATCATTCAATGGAGTTGTTTCCCTTAGACCGTAAATTACAGGGGGTTCTAGACTTGATTGTCCAATAGACAATAAAATTGTTCTTGTACCATAGACTCGAATATCAAACAAAACAAATGGTATAATGAAAACAACATGATGAAAACTTTCGGTTGTAAATCGGTTTAGAAAGGATAAGATTAAATTAAACCACTGTCTTGGCAATTTGGGGATTTGATTACATTCGTGTAAGATTCTACTAGGTCTACACGCAGTTTTTAAAGGTTGTTGTCCTTTTTTCAGCCTTAACTCCGAGCTCAAAGTTGAGAGGCGATGGAAGTGCCAAAACCTAAACAAACATGGCGGTTTTATTGTTTACATTCATTAACATGTGAAAATAAGTGAATTAAAGTTCATTCTTTACCAATTTTTTGTGTTGATTTTCAAGAGAATATGTTAAAGTGTGTCTTCTTTGCTTCAGTGAAAGATTTCAGTGCATTGGGAGGGTGAAATAAAAATAAACATGAAGTTCTACACAAGTCTACAGTCCAACTGATAGTGATACTGATAGACCTGGCAAGTCAAGTATCAAGGAAATGTGTTGAAATAGTAGTAGAAGTAGTAGGGAAGTAGTAGAAATGAATCCATGTCTAGGTCATGATGAACTCATTATTTTGATACCATCATTTCAGGGTAGAAATGAAATAACTCATCTGGAGGCTGTAAGAAAAGTTATAGAAGTAAGAAGTGTGTGACCATTCCGAGTCCACAATAACACTATTAAACACCTTAAGCTGATCAAACGATACTACTAATTTCTGTGGAAGATTCATAACAGCCATGCTTTATTCATATCATTCCTCTATCACAGCTTCTCTTGCTACCTGTCACATAACACCCATGCTTTATTCATATCATTCCTCTATCACACATTTCCCTTCTACCTGTCACATAACACCCATGCTTTATTCATATCATTCCTCTATCACAGCTTCTCTTGCTACCTGTCACATAACAGCCAGGGCAAGCAGCTCTTTCTGATTAGAACGGGGGTAACTCTTGTGAAGAAGTGTTTAAATCAGACCACAATATGATAATAAGATGTTCCTTAAGCAACATTACACAATATTGCTCATCTAGATGTGAATAATTGTATCGTTGCTTAAGGAATATGGGTGGTACTGAACAATGAGTGCGCATGTAGATACACTCCGGAGATAAGGACATATTGTGTCTTCTATTTATTTGCAAAAATTAATGAACTTGTTTTGTTATTTTTTCAACTGATAAAGACAGGCAATTGAAAGTGCAGTGTGCAATGAGGGAAATGTTGCCAAAATTCGACTTTAATGACCTCCCAGGCAGTCCCAAAGTAAGGGTGGGGTCTGTGAAGGCTGAACCCTAGCAAGTGAGAATTCTGCCCCAGTAAAACCTTCAGTTCAGCAGAGATTGATTCATTCACAGTGTCTTTCTACAAACTCAAAAAGATGTAGTTTTTGGCATCTTAAAATTGTCAGAAATGAGTTCTCTGGGCCTTTAATTCATCAAATTTTCAAAATCTGAGCCCCAGCATCAATTTATTCCTGGGGACGGGGCCGACTTAGGGTTAAACTGAGATTTTGTCAAATTAAATCAAGTTATTTTAATGTTTATTAATTGTTTTGTAAATATTAGACATTATTAAATTATATTTGTTTATCTGATATATACATGAATAAATACTATTTTTTATATACAATACTATATATAGCAGTGGTAGCTCCAGTAAGGTTAGGGGAGTGGGGCATTATGAAGAGTTGACAATCAACTGGAATTAATCAAGGATATCCTTTCTCTCTTCACTGAGCAACACATCAAATAAGATGAAACTGAATTCTACATCATCCTATGATTCTACTCCTGATTGAGCTAATTGACAAATAACGCCCTGCAGTATACAATAGAGTTATTTTCTAAGACATTGGAATAAGCCCATTCTGTTTCTCTTTCATCCTGTTAAGGAATCTTTAACACAGACGCACATAATGTGATTAACTCTAGTTTCTCCTGCTTTTTCTGTTCCATAAAAGCACCAAAATATTCCAGAACTGTTCTACCCTTACACTGAGCAGAAAGCCCTTACTAATTTAGCAGACAAGCAGGCTTTGTTATTCATTTCCATCCTTGAATGATCCAAGATGTCTACTTAGTTCACTTGACTCTATTGATTTTGTCTTCTTGGGAATCTTAACTTTCTCCAAACTTGTGATAAATTGTGATATAGATACGTATCTCCTCGTGATTACAATTATCCACTATATATATATCCTGATAATAATGAATTCTGATGTGGATAGGTTCATGTCTGCTTTCTGCTTAGTGAATTTTGGCTTGCTATATATCAGTATAGAACTATCCTCTGTGTGATAACAATTGTCCACTATATATATCCTGATATATCACTTAACTCAATATTCTTAATATAACAATAATAATAATAACTAATGAAGATAAAAGACTAACAATCAATCTGATGTTATCTACGTGTTTTATCTATATCTTCTATAATATTAGTGAGTTTCTGACGAGCTTTACGATTTAAATGATCCACTGTATTAATTAGAGCTAACAACTGTTTTGATGAATATTCCTGAAATGGAAAAAAGAGTATGTTAGGTTTAAATCAAAAATTTGTACAAGCAAGACAATTCTGTTAACTAATATCTCGTCTAAAGCAAGACAATTCTGTTAACTAATATCTCGTCTAAAGCAAGACAATTCTGTTAACTAATATCTCGTCTAAAGCAAGACAATATCTCGTCTAAAGCAAGCTCGTCTAAAGCAAGACAATTCTGTTAACTAATATCTCGTCTAAAGCATGACAATTCTCTAAAGCAAGACAATTCTGTTAACTAATATCTCGTCTAAAGCAAGACAATTCTGTTAACTAAAATCTCGTCTAAAGCAAGACAATTCTGTTAACTAAAATCTCGTCTAAAGCAAGACAATTCTGTTAACTGATATCATAAGTGATGAGACATACCTTATGATCTTGTATCCAGGATTCTAATTGACTCTCAGGTAAATAATAAGCTTTAATATACGTTTCTACGAATTCTCTTTCTGGTACAGGTCTGTAATAGATATATTATATATTATAGGTTGATGAAGATATAATATAAAGTCATTAAAAGTACATGCATTAAAGAACTAACCTTGTAAATCAAAAGTTGTTCTGACTGATACCTTCACAATGTCATTGACTGTATTGACTGGCCTACAATCCAATTCACAGCATCAAAATGTCCACAGTCAACAGTAAGATATTGTATGGTCACTCAAGTGAGTAATAGACGCTGAATTTTTTTCCCTATTTTGTTGATTTTGTATAAATGGGAAACTCCATTGAATTAGACAGACTTACTTGATTTCGACTATTTGATCAATTTTAATGAGAAATTGTTGAAAATCTAACTGCATCAAAGCTCTACCTTCATTACTACATTTCTTAGCATTGGAATAACTGAAAATAAATATTAAATACAGTGATATGATCAGTCAATCCTGATTTATATTTCAGTTTAATATATTTATTGGATGTTGTGTCTAGTGGTTTGAATGAGAAAATAAATACAGAGCCAGTGTGTTTCAAACAGTATATATATAAGATATTTGTAATAATGAATATTTGGTACAGAAAACACACACTAATACCATTGTTCTTGAAAAAGCATGATATATTTCAATAGCAATAGTTTTATCCCAAAAAGGCTCGGGAAAGTAGTGTATCATAGCTTCTTTTATTTTGCATCTCTTCAGGGTCAAAACAATGTCAAAAAACCTAAACCTACCCCTTTACAAAAACTCTGTTAGCTAGTCTAATACAATGTTAAAAACCTAAACCTACCCTTCTACAAAAACTCTGTTAGCTAGTCTAATACAATGTTAAAAACCTAAACCTACCCTTCTACAAAAACTCTGTTAGCTAGTCTAATACAATGTTAAAAACCTAAACCTACCCTTCTACAAAAACTCTGTTAGCTAGTCTAATACAATGTTAAAAACCTAAACCTACCCTTCTACAAAAACTCTGTTAGCTAGTCTAATACAATGTTAAAAACCTAAACCTACCCTTCTACAAAAACTCTGTTAGCTAGTCTAATACAATGTTAAAAACCTAAACCTACCCTTCTACAAAAACTCTGTTAGCTAGTCTAATACAATGTTAAAAACCTAAACCTACCCTTCTACAAAAACTCTGTTAGCTAGTCTAATACAATGTTAAAAACCTAAACCTACCCCTTTACAAAAACTCTGTTAGCTAGTCTAATACAATGTTAAAAACCTAAACCTACCCTTCTACAAAAACTCTGTTAGCTAGTCTAATACAATGTTAAAAACCTAAACCTACCCTTCTACAAAAACTCTGTTAGCTAGTCTAATACAATGTTAAAAACCTAAACCTACCCTTCTACAAAAACTCTGTTAGCTAGTCTAATACAATGTTAAAAACCTAAACCTACCCTTCTACAAAAACTCTGTTAGCTAGTCTAATACAATGTTCCCAGATCACATCTTTTACAACTTTTGGAATTGGTATTCTCATTTCAACTTCCATCATCTTATTGTTCAGGTTGATAAATTTCTGAAAATAAGACTGGTAAATAAAAAACAATTTCATCTGATGACAACACGTGTAAATTGTGTTGAAATGTTATATACTTTGTTATTAAAGAAATGTGTTATATAATATATTCCCTTATGTTTATATTATTTCTTATATTGTTTCTCCAAGGAAAGGCAACATACGCCCACTTTCAGCTGTCAGAAATGATAAGTAAGTCTTTAGTCCAACTCCACGGGCCCTGCATCCCTCAGGGGGCCTGCAGGAGAGGAGGGGGGAGGGGCCACTGCCCTCTGGTGTTCTGTTCAACTGACCTTTAATAAAGCATCTATATATGTATTATGTTGTGACATAATTTCTTTAATATCCCATTTCACCGTCCCCATCTGTTGTAATATAGAATCATAATCTATAGCTCGTATTGAAACATGTTTATATACCGGTCTCCTTAACTCTACTCCCATTTTTACTGTCTGAAATATTAAAACAGAAATTAAATCATGTTGTTACTCAGAGTTTCATGCTATGTGATCTTCAGACTTCATAGCACAGTCGGTTAAAGTGTTGGTTCTCTTCTTGACGTCATTTGCTTGGGTTTGGTGATAGATCAGTTGGTAGAAAAGATCCTTAAATGATCCTTGTAAAATATAGCTGTTTCTTTCTCTTCAACTGATCTATATTTGCCTGTGTCCCTATTGAAGTTGGGAAGTAGAGATCTTCAGACGACTAAGGTTTATATATGCAAGACACTTCAAGTCAATAATTCAATCTCCTTTCCTTTTATCATATAGTGAAGAAACTGACAAAAAAACTGAACCGACCTGAGCATAGAATTGTTGAAGAAAAGCTTTTTTATTGGCGGGAATCATACTTTCTAGATATGGTTGAAGAAATTCCAACTGATCTGCTAAAAATACTCTGAAAAATAGACAAAATATACAGAAAAAATAGTCAAACATTTGAAAGAAACAATCAATTTTGTAACTTATGTTGTTGAGGATTCTGTTTATTAGCTGTCTACCTCTAGACAAAGATTTTACACAGATATTAACCTACTTTCACAAGATCCTGTCTACAAGCTGGTACTTGACCAAATCTCTTGACATATATTTTCCCAGATTAAAACCCACAACCACTGTTCTTGATACCAAGCAAATGATGTCATGTATAGAATCCAACACTCTTACCATGTGGGCTATATCACACCCTCAAAATTATAATACCCGGATAACAATAATTGAAATTCATAACCATGATTCCAAAATACTTAACCCAGACAAAATAAACTTTTAAATCAATTTTAGTGATTGACCAATCAGATAACTAAAACATTTAATTCATCATAATTTAAGTTTTCAAGAAACAGTCTTTATAATTTATAGAAATTCTTACAGAGATTCAACAGCTACTGTTCTCTCAGCCAAACCAAATAAACCATTAGGATCATCTAAATTAACACAGGGTGAGATGGTGGCTGGGGGAATCTTCTCCTAGAATATATAGATATTAACAGAAGCTATTAAAGAGCGTTACTGTACTTAAAAAACACTATTTTGGTCAGTATTTACATGTATTATATTTGGAGAGAGTTGTGTTAAGTTTTTGTAACTGGTACTCAATGCTATTAACTCTGTCAAGTAACTGTATAATATATGTTTTGGTTATAAGAAATTTTAGGTCCAACTGGGAAATCAGAAAATATTCAAGGCAGATTCAAATATATACATCAGAAAACATTTAGAGAAATTATTAGTATATAAATATATTGAATACATACCCGATTATCTTCTGTTTCTGGTGTTTGGTTGCCAGGTTGTGTTGGTGTTGATATCATGTTGTCATGGATACGATATAACGTGATTCGCAGCCGATTGTTGATAGATTTATCCATACCCTGAAGAACAGAGATTATGACTATGTATAAGGCCAGGCTCTATATCTTTCAGGTTTTTATTCCAAAAACGCGAACTCATCTTTAGCATTCAATATAGGTATTTTCTATTTTGCAAGTAATCTTTATGCTATTGAAACATTAATGGAAGGAAAAGATATAAGGAGTTAATATAGAACTTTTTTTTCTCCACAAAATCTAATCTTGTCAGCTTCATGAAATTTATAAAACATTTAGGGAACATGCCAAAATCTAACAATAAAAAGTTTTACTTACATCTCCACCGAAGAAGGTAAAGATGGTATAAAGATAAAAATCAAAGAGTTGAGCTAGACACGTGATGACGTCAAATGATATCGGTCGTAAAACTGTCATCATCTTTAAATATTTACCTACAAATAAAATAAAATATATAACAATCGGGAATTAGACTCCGACTCAAAAATAATCTCAAAAATTAATTTATAATCACTGTTACTGATTGATAAAAAACCTCAGTTCAAGCACCACTGAGAGGAGTCCCCAATATCTCTTTCCAGTTTCTCAAAAGATCTTACCATGAGATTTTTATCTGATAACTGCATGTTTGTCATAAAATAGGAGTCTGGGTTGTGATTTTTAAACTAATTTATCAACCTACCCATAACCCTGAGTACATTTAGAGTTGTATTGGTGATAATTGGTGCCTGTTTGTGACCTGCACTTCGATTCTTAGAAATACCTCTTTTGATTTGACGGCTGTAATTATTAAAAAAACAACGAATATCAAGAGATAATCTTAAAATATGTCAAATTTCAATTTAAAAAGAGAAACAAATGGTGATTATTAAGATAGGTGAAATTGAGTTTTATATTTAGTAGCCTGAGACAAATCAGGGCCTACCCAGTTCCTCTGACGTGATATTCAGATGGGATATTAAAACTGGGTTTAGGGCCAGACATATCCTGTCCATTTTCATGGGACTGGTCAGAGCACCTCTCACCTTTGTTGATTGTTGGGCTATATGTAGGTAAAACAAACATCACTGATCCTTTTGTGAATAGACTTGAAATATTACCCACCAAATATCCAGATGTCAAAATTCCTTCGAATGTGAACAAAATAAAAGACGAACCTATTTTTGAGAGCCTCTCCTGTTAATTCGTCGATATAATCTTGTTTTAATTCATCTGGTACGTCATTATCACTATCACTATCTCCATAACCTTCTTCTTTCTCCTATAGGAAACAATGGAATGACTTAGAAAACAATGGAATGACTTAGAAAACAATGGAATGATGACTTAGAAAACAATGGAATGACTTAGAAAACAATGGAATGACTTAGAAAACAATGGAATGATGACTTAGAAAACAATGGAATGACTTAGAAAACAATGGAATGATGACTTAGAAAACAATGGAATGACTTAGAAAACAATGGAATGATGACTTAGAAAACAATGGAATGATGACTTAGAAAACAATGGAAACAATTGAAAAATATAGAAAAAACGCACCAGATACCTTACTACAGATCTTAGCTCTAAACTAACTTCAACAATCAATGAAATTTTAACCAGGCTTTCAACAACAAGGGAGACCACTCTTCACATCTTGATATATTCAGACCACAATATATCAATGTTACAAAAGCCTCCTTTTATTATTCAAAGACTCACCCCTGTTCCAACATAAACATCTTCATTTTCCTCTTCATCAGGTTGAACATCAAAGGGATTTCCCTGGTTCAGATAATCTTTAAAATATCCTAACTCTAGTGTATTATTTCTTACTGGTGTCGTATCGTCCACTGTCTTGACGTCTGATTGTCTTCCTGCCTGCCAGTCTCGCATAAATCTATACTCCTGTGAAAAATTCATTAATTCCATTAAATACAGATCTGGATATTTCTAAAATAACATTGGAACAATCTGCGTAAAATCGAGTTCTGTCAATATTTGAGTGTAAATGAAATATAATGTCATATACCCTGAACTCCAAGTAATATAAGTAAAAGTGTATGATGTTAACGTTATGTGATGTCACTTAGTAACGGCCGGTATACTGGCTGCTTGGGTAAATATTGTTGTAGTGTGTAGCCGGTATACTGGCTGCTCGGGTAAATATTGCGTTTGTGTGTGGCCGGTAAACCGCCCACTAGAATTGAAAGGATTAACAACAATGGTTCGTTCAAGTTGACATATTGAATTGTACATCTTTCATCTTTGATGTTTTTGCCTACATCCAAATAAAAAAAAAATATATCTAACCATTAGTTGTAATATATTAAAACTTGATTTAACAGGACAGAGTTCCCAACCTTCATTTTCTAAAAATACTCTTAATTCATCTAATCTAGCACTAAAATATAAACACAAACATATAAATAAATATTGTGAACTCTGATCTAAGTGAGTTTATTGATTTTATTCTAAGTGTCATCATACCTGAAATTATCTATCTTTTAAAAAAAAATATCTGAAAATAAGACTCAATATTTCTTTCACAGTTTTTGATGATATTTATGGGTCCAGGCGTTTTTAATTGTGTCACAACTGAACCTCTGATATCATAGTCTACATGTTTTAACCATATACTGTTTCATTCAAATGTTTTTTCTGTGTCAGCCCCTTTGACCTGCATCACTGACAAGAAAAGACCAGGTTGACCTGAAGTTATTATTATTCAAAACAGGATCCATCCCTGAACTGCTGGGCCAATGTAACAACTCTGACAAAACAAAAGAGACTAATAAAAACATTAAAACAGTCTTACCTGTGATGATTTTTAAAATAATTTAAACTTTGTTGTTTCAAAGAATCTTGTAGACCTTCTGATTTGCTGCCACAAAACTGTTCACCGATTTCTATTAATCTGAAAGGTCAAGGGTCAATTATGAATTCAAACTAACATATAGTATATCAAGTGTATATAAGAATATATAGGGAACTGTCATCACAAGCCTTAATCTGGTAATAATTATTTAAAAAGTGATTGTAAAGAGGTTTTCTAAACTTTATTTGTGTATTGGGGTGCTGAAGCATCAATTTACACCATTCCAATTATCAGTCAGATGTCTGTGGTTCCTGCAATTCTACTATATAAAACTAAATTTTGATGTATCACAGAAGGCCCTTTGCATAGGTGACGTCATAAAAAGCCTAGCTGTAGTGGAATTGCAGGAACCAAAAACGTTATCAATGTCCCCGAAACACATAAAATATTTACAATCCCTTTAACAAAATAAGATTATCAAATATGTGATTGTGAAAGCATTATTAAACTAGGTTGAACCCTGAGAAGATATAAACCGTACATGAACATACCTTCCAACAATATCCAGAACTCTGATAAATTCATCTAATTTAAAACCTGAAAGATCAGACCCTAGAATATATGTTTTAACTTTCTGTTGTACGTCTTGCCAGACTCGACCACGCCCATATTCCAGTTTCTGTGTTATATATCTTCGATTAAAAGTTTCTTCTACATTTTCACTGCTTGACTCTTCTAGAATAGAAAAATAAAATTGAATAAAGTTTCATAAGATGCAATTTGAAAATGTTATCCTTTCTTTTCTGGGAAAGATATTTGACAGTATATCAAAGCGGTAAGAAGCAGTCTTTTGTCTAAATCATCCCTCTCCTTACGTCTTATGTAGCATCATATTACTTGTACAATAAATAAATCAAGTATTAACATTACGAACTGAAAAACAAAACCCAAAATTCAAAACATATTGACAAAACATTATTAGTAGCAGTTAATGAACTTTTCACAGAATGAAGTATATCAATCATAAGTGAGTAAGTTTTTCATAATGAAAAGCGGTATCAGGTGTCTAGAACAGTAAGCATACCCTGCAGTCTTACCTGTAGTGTGTTTATTAAAGTCTTACCTCGTAGTGTGTTTATTAAAGTCTTACCTGTAGTGTGTTTATTAAAGTCTTACCTGTAGTGTGTTTATTAAAGTCTTACCTGTAGTGTGTTTATTAAAGTCTTACCTGTAGTGTGTTTATTAAAGTCTTACCTGTAGTGTGTTTATTAAAGTCTTACCTGTAGTGTGTTTATTAAAGTCTTACCTGTAGTGTGTTTATTAAAGTCTTACCTGTAGTGTGTTTATTAAAGTCTTACCTGTAGTGTGTTTATTAAAGTCTTACCTGTAGTGTGTTTATTAAAGTCTTACCTGTAGTGTGTTTATTAAAGATATCATTCTGTTCATGCCACTGTATAGTTTTATAATAACTTCTCATAACTTCCCATAATGCTTTACACAGATCTATTAAACACGGTATAAAACTATCTGTTGTTAAATTCTAAAAATAAACAAAATAAACAGTATTAGTTAAAGATTAGCCTAATTCTCATAGATTTATAAAACAAAGATTTCAGTTGTTAAATTTTAAAATATCAGAATAGAATAAGCATCTTTCAAAGATATAGAAATATTAAAACAGAACCTGAATCATGTTGTTACTCAGAGTTTCACGCTATGTCATCTCCAGACAACTATAGAACGATATAGAAATATTAAAACAGAACCTGAATCATGTTGTTACTCCGGGTTTCACGCTATGTGATCTCCAGACAACTATAGAATGATATACAAATATTAAAACAGAACCTGAAACATGTTGTTACTCAGAGTTTCACGCTATGTGATCTCCAGACAACTGTAGAATGATATAGAAATATTAAAACAGAACTTGAATCATGTTGTTACTCAGAGTTTCACGCTATGTGATCTCCAGACAACTATAGAACGATATAGAAATATTAAAACAGAACCTGAATCATGTTGTTACTCAGAGTTTCACGCTATGTGATCTCCAGACAACTATAGAATGATATAGAAATATTAAAACAGAACTTGAATCATGTTGTTACTCAGAGTTTCACGCTATGTGATCTCCAGACAACTGTAGAACGATATAGAAATATTAAAACAGAACTTGAATCATGTTGTTACTCAGAGTTTCACGCTATGTGATCTCCAGACAACTATAGAATGATATAGAAATATTAAAACAGAACCTGAAACATGTTGTTACTCAGAGTTTCACGCTATGTGATCTCCAGACAACTGTAGAATGATATAGAAATATTAAAACAGAACTTGAATCATGTTGTTACTCAGAGTTTCACACTAAAATGTTCAGCTCAAAATAGATTGTACTGGACATTTTCTGAAATTGTACAGGGCAATGTCCCTGTTGGGACTTTTAATTTCAAACCTTGAACAATACTTACCCTACATAAGTCTGGATATTGTCGTTTTTGAAAGTTGGTTTGAGATCCACCGGAACACAGTTCAACATAACCTAACACTATAATAAATGCTGTGTTATGTATAGCGCTCGCAAAATGCATATGTAACTGATCCATGGCAGTCTGAAAAGACAAAACGTAACTTTTACACAATTATCAATTATTACAGAACTTTTTGTGATAAGTTGTAAAAATAGTCTACCTAAAAATGGTCTCTTCTTGGAAAAACCTAATCATACGAGATTAAGGGAATAAAGTTGTCTAAGCTTATACACAATTCCTAGCATTTTTTAAAATTAAAGTCCAAAGTTACATTCCCTTGTAATTCAAAGTCAAACTGTTATTACTTCTAAGTCATAAAACCCTACACTGCAGTTATTGTTGATATTATGTGATAATCCAAATCTTAAACATTTATCTAAACAGAAAACCTTTCAGATTGGAAATTACAGTCTTGATTAGCTCCAAATTTTTACATTTTATTGTCAGGTGCTACAGTGAATCCTTGTGAAAAATTGCATTCATTTACCGATGAACTAAATTTCCTTGGTGATCTGCGATGATGTAATGACTTAATAATGACGTCATCTCCTGTGACAACTTGGGATGCAGTGTATGGATACACAACAACTTTCAACTAAAAATATATGTACCTGTGTTTTGCCCAATAAATTATAGGCTTTCTGTACTTTATCATAATGTTTGACATCAAAACCATTGCAAGTTTTAGACAAGGCTATATCTAACTGTTCTTCTATCATCTCTAATGTATCTTGTAACTTGGAGCTCAATTCACTGAAAATAACGTATTAAACGATTGAAATTAAAGTTAGTATTGAATCTAACTGTAACTTGTGGGACCAATGAAATAATGAGTAAGTATTTTCAAGACCTTGCCTCTGAAAGTTTTCCTCAGATGAAAAATATCATAGCAAAAAAGTCAACAATCATGACTGAATCTGAAGCTGTTATTACAGAAAACAAGTTAGAGGTCTCTCAGGTAACCCTCGTGGAAAAATATCAACTATAACAAATTAAACCTGGAGACTCATTCAAGTATTTGTCAATTTTCAAGGCTATTTTCTCTCTCTCTCTTTGTATCAGTAAGGTGTAGTTGATGTATATGATGTTATGTCACTATGAGTTAAATGTTTGACTATAGAACTTCTACAGTATGGACTGAGTTATAAAAAAGCAAAATATTGTGATTATGAAAGAATTAATTCCTATGTTACCTGATACATTTAAAATGGCGGAATGTACTGGCTGCTTTTTGACATTCTAAACATAATTGTATGGCACCACAATAATCTTCTTCCTAGATATAGATAAACACAACAAAATTTACAATATGAGATAGAAGTAGCAATCAAACCTAGCAATAGTTTTCAAGATCCATTTTCTTTCTTCACTTTGTTTGCAAACTGGAGAAGGAGGCTTTAAAGACGTCAAAATGGTGATTTTACTTCAGTGACACCACATTACCATGATTGTTTGCATTATGAGCCTCGTTCTGGATTCAATATGGACGACGCTTGAATAAGGTCTATTAAAGTTTAAAATTTAATCAGTTTAAACTACAGTTAAGAAAGTTTTGAGTTTTCTATAAAAAAGAAGAATACAAGCCTACCTCCATCATTTCTCTCAATCTTAAATCTGTTCTTTGCTGAAATAAACATTACATCAGTTAGATTTATCATTAATATCAAAATTTATTTCAATATACATCTTTCTTTAAATAATTCTTGAAAATTAATGGGAGAGGAAGAAAACTCTAGCCTCTCATTTCGGACAAACATCATAAAAAAATGATTCCTTTCCTTTCATGTATAAAATAAGCTCCTGTGCTTTTTAAATGTTGAATGATCTAGGAAGACTATCTTCTTGATGTTATCAACTTGTCAAGTATTATATATAGACACAGCTTTATAGAACAACAATCACTGGTTAAACTTTTATGCAACGTTTCGAAAAAAAATAAAACTTTAACCAGTGATTGTTGTTCCATAAAGCAGTGTCTATATATAATACTCACAATTACTATATGTCATTTAAAGACTTGACTTGTGATTTAAAGATTTCTATTTGGACAGGAACATGGTTGTATTCCTATTCTGATCATGGTGTTTAAAATCATCTTTTCATACCAGTAATAAAGTAATAAAACTAGCTCAGAGTGAAATCTGAATTAATTCTTACCAGTGTTTTAATGGTATGTAAAGATTTGAGTAAACCCAGTAACTGTTGTCGTTTTTTATAATTAGCTAATAAACCCAGGCTGGCAGAGGTGAAGATAGTTTTACCATGTAGCACCTCTCTACAGTAGAAAATTGGATAATATATAACCATAATGTTGTGTCAGTTGAGATAAAAGCTCATAATTTATTAAATCTACCAAATACTTGCTTGGGGTAAAAATTTATACAATCTTGTAATGATTTGTTACTCGTTAGTTAGGAAGAATCTGCAGTAAGAAATAAGATAAGTATTCTTAAAAAGATCTTAAAGAAATGTTCCAATGTCTTTTGACTTACTTTCTGCCTTTAGCACACACAACTCCAGCTGCCTGTAAGCATCGATCAAGTTCCATAACTCTCTGTAACTCGGCAGCATACGCTGGGTGATTTTGTAAGATGAGTTCTGACACTTTCCGCGATACCTGAAAATAATATTCAATAAAACAATGAATCATTACTTCTATTGCAACACAAAAAAAAAATTCTTTGGCACCAAAAACCGCAAAAACAACCTGTGAAATTGAAAGTTCAGTACTTACAGCTTGTAACTGTTTTCTAAGTTTGGTTCTATCATCATCAATCTCTGATAAACTCAACTTCTCAGGTAATTTCTTAAAAAAAAAAATATTATACACACATCATTAAAAAATAAATATTATACTTGAATCAGAAATAATAATAATCATCCATGGAGACAGAGATTCTATCAGATTTACTGCAGGTTCAGAATAATCATCCATGGAGACAGAGATTCTATCACATTTACTGCAGGTTCAGAATAATCATCCATGGAGACAGAGATTCTATCAGATTTACTGCAGGTTCAGAATAATCATCCATGGAGACAGAGATTCTATCAGATTTACTGCAGGTTCAGAATAATCATCCATGGAGACAGAGATTCTATCAGATTTACTGCAGGTTCAGAATAATCATCCATGGAGACAGAGATTCTATCAGATTTACTGCAGGTTCAGAATAATCATCCATGGAGACAGAGATTCTATCAGATTTACTGCAGGTTAAGAATAATCTTCCATGGAGACAGAGATTCTATCAGATTTACTGGAGGTTCAGAATAATCTTCCATGGAGACAGAGATTCTATCACATTTACTGCAGGTTCAGAATAATCATCCATGGAGACAGAGATTCTATCAGATTTACTGCAGGTTCAGAATAATCATCCATGGAGACAGAGATTCTCTCAGATTTACTGCAGGTTCAGAATAGGTGTGTATCATATTCACAATTACACAGTAAGCACATTCTTGGATGGGGAAGCTGTGTTAACAAACTCAGTCGAAAGTGCCAGCCTACAACAGACTGACTTTGATTATATCAGGCATATTTACCATTCTGCCTAGCTTTGAATAGAATACTTTTATAACCACAATCTAGCTTGATGAAGACAAAAGCTTCTTCAATGACAATGGTTGGGGTTAAGTGTATTCAATATCTGCAGCTTGGGTCCTTAGTGATGCCCCCCCCCCCCCCCCCCCCCCCCCTCCCCAGTTTAAAATATGTTATCATTGAGGTTTTATATGCCTAGTGCTGTTTGCCCCCCTTGATGTCCCCTTCCCAGCCTCTTTACCTACTGATTCATAGAAACAACACTTTTTCTCGAATATGTGGCCAAGATAACGTACCTCCAATTCATAATTACTAGCATCCCAAGATTCATCATTATAATAATCTTTCTCTACTGTTTCTATAATCTCTTCTTGTTCATGTGGATTACTTGGTACTTCAGGCTGGAAATATAAGAAGTTATTAATGAATTAGATAAGTTTTCATTTGCATTAAAGATATAACTTCTTTATATTTATTTGGATTTCTTGAAAAAATTAGTAAAGGGCCCAGTTTTCCACCCACATATTATTTTATTTGTTTTACATTGTGTTGTTTGTTGCAGGGGTAAATTGTTAAAATGCCCAGCCTAAATTATGTCCCATTAAAGATATTATTATTTCTCTTCTTAGTTTTTTCCTTGTGTCTGATAGCCATTAGCAAGTCTAAGTTATTTCCAAAACCATTTTAAATATCTATTTGATACAAAAGAATATTCCAGTAAGAGAATTCACAAACCTTAAATTTGGCTACAGCTGGCTCACTAACCAACAATTCTTGACTGATATTTTCTTCTATAGGTGATGTCAAACTATCCTGAAAAATAAACAAGTTGGTTAAATATAAGGATATAAGCTGACACTTGGATATTACTAGAATTAATTCAAATTCATTTTTAGACATCCAAGATGGAGCAGTGATTGAAATAATATTGAAATTTTATATAAATAAATTTATATCTAAATTAAGCCTTTAAGGCAACAAAAAATTGATAACAATGCTTTCTAATCTTTTTGGGCTTGAGCGAGTTAGCCCAGTTTTGACAACGGCTGTAGGATTATTTCAATTGTTAATCCATGATGAAAACAATGAAATAAATGGAGTTTTCCATCCTACTTTTATGCACCTTATAGGCTAATGAAATGAAGGCTGGCAATGGCATGCAGTGTACAATGAGGGAAGTGTTTTGAGTCTTATTGGATATTGAAAGCAATGACAACCTTTTAGGATAGCCAGAGGACTATTATGCTATAAGAAGGCCTTTAAGATAAGGGAACAGTTGATCTTTTGGGTGTACAATAACTGCAAATTGGACTATGTTTGACAAATTGGAATGGAATGGTATTGGTGATAAAAGAAAGCCGAAAAGGGGGGGGGGGGGGGGGGGCATAATCTCTATGAGGGACTCCTACACAGCGACATACAGTCAAAATAAGAATCCAACATAAGTTTCAATCTTAAATCAAAATGGAAGTTATTGTACCTGCTTGCTTATCAAGTTGCGCAGTTTCTGTTTGAAATCCATTTCAGTGCAATAATCTCATTTTTAGTGCGAATTAAAATTTTTAATCTAAATAGACGGCCATCTTGAAATGAACGCCCTCACACAAACAAAGGAAAGATAATCGAGATGAACAAGATTCTAAGAATGGACTTGTTCAATGAATAAGTTGTTGATGTTGCGAAATTTCTCAATGACAGTGGATCTCTAAATCAGAAATCCGCAGATCACAGCAGAACTCACAACATGGACACAGAGGAAAATGCAATTTCATTAAAAACACTGAAAAAACATGGATGGGGAGGTGAGCGGTTTAAAAGTTAAAATAGTAGGGGAGAAGCGGGGCAATTAGTCCACCATTTCTTATAGTGGTTTACTTAAAAACATGATTTTGTTCTCTCTCTAAATGTGAGATGACCACAACAATGATACTTTTCCAAATCGTTGTGCTAACTGATATACTTTAATTCATTTGAAGCAACTTTATTAAATAGGGCGAACCGGGACAACATGTCCACTTTTTAATTTTGACAGAGATGTACCCTTTGCTTAAAATAGCATTAAAGGTAATTTAATGGGAACCTTATACATATTTTGTTTTGTTCTATATCCAATAGTATTTTGATTTTTCAGATTTAGAATTACGGGGATATCAATTAGATGGAGTAAATTGGTTAATTGGTTGCTATAACAACAACCATGGTTGTATTTTGGGAGATGAAATGGGACTAGGGAAGACATGTCAGGTGAGCGTTTGATAATCTAGTTTAATTGTCTCCCATTCTTAAAGAATCTCAGTTATGAATTTTTGTTTCTGGTTCAACCAGTGGCCCAGCAAGGCAATTTTTTTTGCATGGGGGTTCATAGGAACCGAAGCTGTAAGTACACAAGGGTGGAGGGGGGCTGTGTGGGCCACTAGGCTCAACTAATTAATCTTGCAAAGGGAGGTGACTTATAACAGTTTTTGAACTCAAAAACTTTACTTCAGGTAACTCCCTTGTCAAGTCCTTTCTTGGAAAATAAAATCATCACTCAGATTTTCTTGCAGCTTTTGAATAGAGTGGTATAAGTTGAGTATATTTGAAATGATAACTTGTTATTTCAGACTATAGCTGTGCTGACTTATCTTAATAAAAAGCCAGTTACCTCCCCTAACCTAGTTGTATGTCCAAGAGCTGTACTGGAGAACTGGCAAGTGGAATTTAAAAGGTGAGAGCTTACGAGAGCTTGCAAGTATTTTTCGTCGGCGATGACGCAACAACAAACGAAGAAGTAAAATTTCATCATATTCTGAATCATTCGAAGGGTTGTCGACGTCCAACATTTTGTTTAAGTCACGTGAGAATGTCACGTGATCTAGTTATTTTTAGATTATGACTATGACTATGACTCGACACAGCCGTTTACGAAAGCTCTAAGCTTAGCGTGTGCGGGGGAAACCGACGAAAGCTGGAGCTCTCATGTGCGCTAGCCTTAACTTAAGTTCGCCTTCGACTCTTTCAAATTCAAAATAGTCAAAGATAATCACTAAAAAGGTTTCCTTTTGACTCTTTTAAAGTTGGTATTTAAAGATAATCACATTTAATAAATTTGGAATGATTTCAGATTTGCACCTAAGTTAAAGGTGGTTCCTCTGATAGGAGCTAAAGATGACAGGAAAACATTCTGTGATGATATTAAGAAGAAAAGTAAAAGTGGGGAATACCCCTTTGATGTTCTCATTACTACTTATGAGGTAAAATTTGTTTCATGTCGTTTTCTGAAGTTTTTGCCATGTTTTACTGTGTTATTGTTAATATAATGCACACCCCTTCAGTGACGTATTTAGGGGTATACCAGACCTATGATAGGTTTTATTTTAAAGTAAGAATTAAGTCGTCTAAATGCTCAAAATTCATCTAAGACCATCTAAAATCTGGAGAGACACCTCTCATTTTTTCCTGAAGGATAGAAAAGATGTGTCTATTTGTTGTGATGGTACAAATATTCCCCTTATTTCATGTTGTTTCTGTATTTTTTAGATTTGTTTAAAAGACCACAGTTTTTTACAGTCAGTACCATGGAATATATTGGTAGTTGATGAGGCTCATAGGCTGAAAAACCATGAATCTTTACTCTATAGAACACTAGAACAGGTTGGATTCCATTTTAGTTCATTTAGAATTTTAACAGGGGTGTTCTAAGAATCTTTTATGAGGGAGCTGAGTAAGGGACCATGGGCAATATTCCCCTATAGACATATGAGGGGGTGCCGGTCTGAATTCTGGCCCTGCCACCATAGAAATGCCACCGCTGGTTTCCCCCTGACAGTGATGGAGGTCAAGGCATATAAAATGGCAAAAATGTCAATTCAGATAGGAGAATGAATCAAGCCTTCTTTGTCACAGTCTATAAGTTAAAGGTCCCTAAACTGTTTGAAATCAATAAATATAAGGCAAATGTTGCTTGTGGCACGGTACCGCTGTAAACTGTTAATTTAATGGTGATTTCTTGATTTAAATACATGTAATCACCTCCAATCAACTAAAACTGTACTTACTAGTAAATATCATGAGTAATGTTTCTGACTCTCTATAGAACACTAGAACAGGTTGGATTCCATTTTAGTTCATTTAGAATTTTAACAGGGGTGTTCTAAGAATCTTTTATGAGGGAGCTGAGTAAGGGACCATGGGCAATATTCCCCTATAGACATATGAGGGGGTGCCGGTCTGAACTCTCGTTAACCATATTACAGTGATAGTGGCTCCTATCAGTGATGCTGTTTGGAGGGTCTGGATAAAATAGGCCAATAAATCAAAGATTGTGCATGTTAAAGATCCTTCCACAGTTTGAAATAAATAAACAGTTGACTAATACTGCTGTCCTGGCAAAATTTCTCTCATTTCATCTCAAAGTGTTCGATGTAGAAATAAGGGTGTTAACTCAATTTCATTTCAACGTACAACACCATACTACTTGTATATCTCCCTATTAAATCTGTTTATATTACAGTGGGATATAGGACAGAGTTTTCTACTAACTGGAACACCAGTACAGAACAACTTGATGGAGCTGTACGCTTTACTCAGTTTTGTTGATGATAAAAAATTCTCTCCATCTCAACTGGATCATTTTGTTGCTAAATTTTCTTCTGAAGACAATAAAAGTAAGTTGACGTGGAGAGTTTTCTTTCCATTTTGGATTCTTAGCTGTTTTAAAAATCTAAATCTCAACTATAAGCAGCTGCTACTAAGCCACAATAAATCTAAGTCCTCAGATGTGATGAAGGGATGTAATTTCATCAGGATTAAGGGTGAGACCAGTCAGCAAGCACTGGCACAAGCATCAGAATTTTTCTTACCTTGAGGATGGGCATACATCTCTTTTTATGTTGGTTGAGAGTGACTCTTAGATGGAAAATTTTTTTTTAAAACTATAGATTAAAAAATGGGTTTGGTTTAACTCCCATAAAAAGTGACACCAGATGTTTTGCTTTACCTGTGAAGATATAAACCCAGAGGAACTGGGTAGAGCCAGTATATTTGTTTAACGATTGCCTCACCATTATAGTTGATTTTATATCAGAATATTTTTATTTTTAGAATTAGAAGAATTACATGATCTGTTAAAGCCGTATTTATTACGAAGAACTAAAGCTGGAGTTTTAAAAGATCTGCCCAATAAATCAGAAGTCGTTTTATATCATGGGTTATCTCCCTTACAGAAGAAGTTATATAAAGCTTTATTAACGAAAGATTTAGGTAAATTTCATTGTTCTGTTTTTGTAAAGAAATATATAGAACAAAACAGAAGTTTTAAATAACAATCACTGCATTCATTTAGCATGTTTTTTGACAAAATTTATATTTTTTTTTGTCAACACTTTCGCAAAAATTTGTCAGAGTTATTGTTATCTATAAATTTTGTTATGATCTAGTCTTTACAATCAATTACTGCCTAAAACAATACAGGAAAATATAAAGCTAATCAAATCAAATAAACAATATAATTTACCTTCAGTCTGACTTGTAGAGGTTTAATCTTTTTATTAACGAATTGTTATTTTCTGAACTATAGTTACATAAATCTGTAGAATTTGTGACTTTTGTGTTGTTGTATTAAATGGACGTAGCAGATAAATCTGTAAATTTGAAGTGTTATTTTTTATCTGTTTTACCATGACAGCTTACATGAGAAATAACATGATAAGGTTTTTTTTTTTATAGAGGTATTTGAGAATTCCAATCCTAACGCGAAATCTACAAGTTTAATGAATATTTTGATGCAGTTAAGGAAATGTGTCAATCATCCCTATCTGTTTGATGGTGAGTATAGGGTAAAACATTACAGGGTACAGGGTGTGGGGATATGACTTAATGTGCTCAGGCGCTCAGTAGGAAAGGTTGCTGGAGATTTGTGATTCAAAGTCTACAAAGGCTGCAATAGGTCAGTTGTCTGCAGGTCGCACAAAGTAAAACATTGAGTAAAAACATGATTCACAAAGATCTTTTCTACCAGCTGATTATTGGACAAACCTCTTCACTTTGATTTTACAAGGATAACAAATTAGGTTCTCAAGGATCCTGTCTACCACCAGTTTCTAATCTAAACCTCTTGGCATTTATTTTTCAAGGATAATGTGTTGTTTTTTAGGTGTGGAACCAGAGCCATTTGAACTGGGAGACCATTTGATTGAGTCTAGTGGAAAGCTAGTCTTGATCGACAAATTGTTAGGTCACATGAAGAGGAATGGTCATAGAGTGTTGATGTTTTCTCAGATGACCCATATGTTAGATATTCTACAGGATTTTCTTAGTTATAAAGGTGTGTTGACTCTTTATTTTTAAACCTGACTCTTAAGGAATATCGTTGACCTCTGTATGTTGTGAATGCAAAATAAACGACCTTTCTAATCAGATTTTGTTGAAATTCTTTTTTTGTTTTCATTATAATATGTGCTTAAAACCATTCAACTGTGTTGCCATGGTAATGACGGAGGTCAAGTGATAAAATGTCATGTAAAGACTACTAAAACATTTAGTCTATTATTGGGTAACACTGACGTTATTCAAGGTATTATTCACATTATTGATAATGAATCAACCAGGTTTATTTACAATCAGTGATCTATTGTCAATTCAACTCTCTTCAAGTTCTGCCTGTTTCTGAATCACTACTGCCTTCTATGGAATAATTGATGGAATGCTGCTCTACCCAAAACATTTTTTGAATTGCTGAGAAGACTTTTACAATATAAGTAATGATATTTTATGTATGTGTATTTCAGGCTATACGTATGAAAGATTAGATGGGTCTGTACGAGGGGAAGAGAGATTTTTATCAATACAGAAATTTAACCAGAGTGATGAAACATTCGTTTTTCTTCTTAGTACCAAAGCAGGTAGGAACAGATTTTATTATTTGGGTGAAAATCCAAGGAAGGGTAAAATGTTGATGTGTTTTTATTGAAATGTTGATGCTTTCCAAATTTTATTAAAGCTTGTTTTTGAGTCATTGGATTTTTTTTTTCAATTTCTATATATTGTTTAGTTACCCAGCTATAAATGGGTCTGGATAATCCAGGAAAGATGTAGATGAAATGTAGTTGTTTTGTTTCATAGAATTCAGATATATTGAACTATATTTTGTAGGTGGACAAGGTATTAACCTAACGTCAGCTGATACTGTAATATTTGTAGACAGTGATTTCAATCCACAGAATGATTTACAGGCTGCTGCTAGAGCTCATAGAATCGGTCAAATGAAGTAGGTTTTTGCTTTAAATCTTTTGAAAATCAAAGATGTAAAATGTAAGAAGGAATAGAGACTCAAGGATAAAATGATATCAGTTTTGAATTTAACATGATTGATATTTAAGATCTCAAACTGGACAGTTGTCCACCCACCCTAAGTAAGTCTGCCCCCTATTTGAACCCGAAATCTCAGGAGGCTGGCACCATCACTGGTCTTTCTATTTGTCCATTTTTTTAATACATTTACAAATTGATCACTATTCTATTATAGAGCTGTAAAGATTATAAGATTAATTGGCAGACATAGTGTAGAGGAAATTATTTTAAAACGAGCAGAAGATAAACTCAAATTAACAGAGAAAGTTATAGAGAGTGGACAGTTTGCTCTCGGAAACCAACGTTTATTTGCTTCTAACAGATCAGAGGTGGTTTTATTTTCTTATTAGAATGAGTAAATATTGAACTGACACTGCGGTTTGATTGTAGACTTCTTTACATGTGTTAATTGCTCACTAAACTCCTACTGAACAGAGCATTTGATTGGTTGAATTATATGTTAAATCTGAACCTTCTTGAACATTAGAATGTCTTCAGATTCGAATGCATCAAGTTATCGAAATGGTTATAACTGTGTGTTTCAAGTAAAGCCTTGATGTTTTAGTCTGTACTTCAATCAAATCACATAATAACATGATAAGATTGTTGGATTTTAAAATGTTTTTTCACCTCCCTTATTTCTAGCTACAAGATGTATTAAAATTTGGGGCTGAGAAACTATTTAATGAAGATAATGATGATGATAATGAAGATGATTTTAAGAAGATTCTGGGACCAACAGTTGATGGACAATGGACTCTGAATGAAGAAGATGATGATGATGAGAAGGTACTGATAATGTTTTATTTTTCCCTTGATAACACTGTCTGTATGAGCATGTGAAACATTGAGTTAACCCTTTAAACCATAGCAAGCAGGAAACCGGCAGGTAGGTAGGTAAATGACAAGTTAACGTTCGCTTACAGCGGATGCTGATATCGCAAACTAGGTAGTTGTTGGTAGTCGTAGTAGTTGGTAGTTGGATTGGTTCAAATTGGATGATTCTGTGTTGTTAGTATGGTTGTTGATTCTTCTTGTAAGATCTGGTCGGGTCGAATGACATGGCGGTGAAACTCGACCCTGGATGGTGTGGGAAACCGGCAACATAATTACGCAATATATACCCGAGAAGCTGGGAAAGTAACCGTTACCAACTGACATCACATAACGTTAACGTCATAAACTTTATGTTATATTACTTTAGAGTTCAGGGTATATGATGTTTTATTTCATTACTCAAGATGAAAATGGCTAACAAATGTTAGAAATAGTATATCGATATATCTTGTGTTTCTTTATCTATTACTATTTCTATGTTATAAACTTTATTGATAATGTTGTTGAGTTAACTCCCTTAGTTATATGAAGCAGATAGTTTCTGTGATTTAGCTAGTTAAACATTTGTTTGCTAATCTGAAGGTTCAGTCCTTGTGAAGTTTGAGATCATCAGTTTTGGATTTTCAACCCAGTTTCCCCCTTTAAAGTATACAAAAGTAGGGTGTAAAACTCAATGAATTTGATTTATTTTGTTATAGATAGAGTCTATAAGTGATGATAATAATATAGCACCACAGAGTATGTACATGTTTGAAGGGACTGATTATTCTAATGAACCATCAGCAGAAGATAAAAAAACTTTTGATGCCTTGATAGAAGGTATGTACATCTCCATTATAGGGGCTGACATGGAAAAAGCGTCTAGTCGTTCGGATGGGACAATAAACTGAGGCCCTGTGTGCAACAGGCTGTGCATGTGAAAGATCCCTCAACAGTTGGATATCGAAAGAGAGCGAGCTTATGCAACTGTCCTGACAAAATTTCCCTCATTGCACCCTGCATGGTGTTGCCCGTCTTATTATTCCATTAGGTGCAGAAGAGTAGGACATAAAACTACATTTCATTTCATTTCTGTTAGCCTATACAAAAGGTAGTGGGATAGCTCTTTCTGTATTAAGTTTGTTTGCTCTCAGCTTGGAGATTTAGTGCCATGGTTATTTAAAGTTTGGTTTCAAACAAACTTCGGAACTCTAAAGTTATATAAATTATTATAACCCGTGCTTTCTATGAGTTATATTCTCATTCACCGTAACACTAAATTCGATGGTGAAAATATTGAGATCACTGTCTTCTTTTAATCTGATACATGCTGAATTGTTAAATTTAATTCTACTGATATTATTCCAGCTGAACGTAAAATTCTAGAAAATAAAATGACTGGTGAACGAGCCACGAGAAAAAAAAATTCCACGTTGATTACAGCTCTACCAGAATTTACACGGAAACCAAGAAAACAATTAACTCCAGAACAATTGGAGGAGAGGAGGAAAAAGGTAGGATTTTGGATTGGAAATGATGAAGTCCGTAATAAAAAGACACACTACACAACAATGATGCAATCTGAGATTTGTGGCCAATTCAAATAACGGATCATATAAAACATATAAAAATTATATTAATAAAAGTGTCTAAATATAAATATAAGAATTAAACGTTGATCTCACTAGCATTATTGGTGTGTATGACTCTGTAATTTATTCCGTTTGTCACATGAACAAATGCGTTTACACACCAATAATGCTAGTAAGACCATTGGAGCTTGGAATTTCTTAAGCTTGGCCAATTATGAGATGAAATCCACAGAAAAATCATAATCTTATTTTAAATAACCACAAGAGTAAATTAGTTATTTATGTTAACAAAGGTAAATTGTTTTATTTGTATTCAGAGGAAAGAGGCAGCTGAAAAAAGAGCTAAACAGGCTGAAGAACAAGAAATAAAAAGAGCTCAAGAATTAAGGAAAATCAAGTAAGTGTTTTTAGTTTAAGATTATTTCAACCAGATAAACGTTAAAATAAATCTGCTACTTGGTGTCAGTTTGAGACAGCTGTAATTTCCGGCTGTAATTTCCCGGACTAAGTTAATTATTCTGATACTTCATTCACATCCTATGCTATAAGTCAGAGATCTATACTGTTTTGGACCATAAATAACAGCTTTGATTTGAATTCCCAATTTCAGGGTAGCTTTAATGCCTCAATGACAAATGGATTGATCTGTATTGTAGTTTGAATGTTTATTTCAGACAAGATCTATGGGAATCGTACAACTATAAAACATGTAATATAGAAATAGATGAGTGATGATGATGATGATGATGATGATGATGATGATGATGATGATGATGTCGACCCTGTTGGATTAAGATATGTTATTGGTGACGTCACTCATCCAGTTGATACGAACTGTCCAACTAACATTGTAGTACACTGTGCAGGTTGGTCTTTATACTAGCTATTAGGGGGTGAAAGCTGACACTGGGCTGACTCTTGAAGAAAGCACTGGCACAGGCATCAGAATTTTTTTTACCTTGCAACCTTAAGGTAAGTAGTTGCAAAGAGCCTTATGTGATACAAGCATATTTTGCAAATTTAAAGGAATTGGAGGAACCATAGACATCTCATTGAAATTTGGAATGGGACAAATTGATAGCATCATCATAGCATAAAAATTTTAGAAAAACTCTTAACAAGCCCTTCAAGCTGTAATTTTATTATTTTTATCAGGCAGGATTGTTTCAAAGAAGAAATGAAATATAAAATGTTTTGTTGTTTATTTTTAGATGATTCAGGGAGATGGGGAAGGGGAGGATTATTTTCAGCCCTCGCAGCTCGGTCTCCCACCCCTGAGAAACAATATAAACTAGCCAGTAAATGTCAGGGTAAGGTATTAGTTTGTTATATTGGGCAGTGGGTAGTGTAATAAGCTGCGTTAATATTCAAAATTTTGTCTTGTTTTGCCAGGTTAAGGGTCCTCACACCATAGTGATTACCACTATAAAATTTATAAATATTATCTTGTAGTTAGAAAGAAAAAAAAAACTATATACAAAAAAAATAAAAACTTAGGATCACAAAGGATCCTTTTCTACCTGTTATAAATGATATATATGTATTTATCTCAACCTATCTCTATATTTTACAGATCTAGCTCTAGGAGATTGTCATCTGATTAATATAGATGATATAGAAGGTAGAGAAGAGGGAGAAGATTTGGTAAATATTATGATAAGAGATTGACACCTATTTCTAACACAAGCTGTCTTGATTGGAGATTTTTGTCGGCGATTAGAGTAAAATCTTGCGTGTGCCCCTACATCCACAAAAAGATAATGGCGTCCCTGACGGGATTTATAATATCAAACATGTTTGATATTTGACGATAGTTTTATCGTCTGCATGACAGCAAAGTAGTTGATATTAGCTATGTGGACTCTCTGAAAGGGACGCTAAGTTGAAACCCATTCACAGAATGGCATTATGTGTTCTAGAAGACTGAACTTGCTAGCATAGACACTCAGTCAAAATATTTTCTCTTATCTTAAAATAAAGTTCTTTTTTCTTCTAATCTTGAAGATTTTATGAATATTCTTCTTCTATGTTTTTCTATTTTCAGTTGGGATTGATAATAGCTCAACATCGAGATAAACGTAATAATCTCTCTGGTATAAAACTCTCAGCTTTACGTCTCGGGCTGGAGAAAATATACGTTGTAGCTAAGGCTAAAAAAGGTAGGCTGAAAGATTATATGATCTTGATTTTGATGCCGGATTGTGTTTTAGAGGGGGTGGTTTGGTATGTATTTAATAATGATTTGGTGAAGACTTCTCAAATTTGCATCTTCAGATAAGATGCCTGTTGACAGAAGATATTGTTTAGAAGAGTTTCACTGTATTCTTGAAACTACAATTAGATTGAAGACAAAAAAAGAAATTGTAAATCAACCTGTATTAGTTGACCAATGATATAAGATTGTTGTAATATTTCAGCCAGTGTTCATCTACCACGTATTGGCCATGATACACCAAGTTTTAATTGGTATGGAACAGAACGACTGATTAAAAAAATACTGACATCTAGAGGCATACAAACTTTCATGTATCCTTTTTTCACATCAATCTATACTTGTACTTTCTTTCTTATGAAGGTGTTTAACTTGAGGTAACCTCCAATCTGAGGTACAGGATGTGCTTCGAGTGGGACAGGCCAAGGCTGTGTCTATTATAGATACTACAACAGATGGAAATCAAAAAAGAGAATTTAATAAGGGTGCATTTACCAATTTCTAAAGGGAAATAAAATGGTACAAATAGAAGGTATAAGTGTCTCCTGACGTCTCCTTGACAACGCTAGTACTTATGTTATTAATTATAAACACTTGTATAAAATTTTATTCCTGAATGTATAAAAGATATTACTACCCCAGAAAACAGGCGTTTAAACGAAAACAAACCAATCTGGGGAACGAAGAAAACCAGAAAAATAAAGGTGAGTTAGCAACTTTGTTTTGAAAAAAAAACAAGTACTAAGGACAAAACGAAACCCAAAATCCAAAACAACATTTTAGCGAAACATTAGTAGCAGCTAATGAACTTTTCACAGAAGGAAGTATATCAATCATAAGTGAGTTAGTATTTCATAATGAAAAGTGGTATCAGGTGTCTAGAAGAGTAAGTATATATGGTCTTCTTGCTGTCTCCCATTTTCTTGCTAATTAATTTGTGATCAGTTATAGGGATGCTCAATTGGTATACATTTAAGTTGAAATCTTGTGTTCCACAGGGTTAGAATTCCTTGTCCTTTAGCATGAATCATCTCAGGGGTGAAAGACGCAACCAGGATTTCTTTTTGTCAAAATGTTCTATGGTTAAGAATTTGAATAGTTTTAAATGAAAATTGTGCATCTTCTTTGATTTTTCTTTTTGCAGTTTTGAAAATATCCCAAGATCTGAGCTCAAGTGAGGAGGAAGAGTGCAAACCAAGTACATCCAGTCATAATGCAGAAAGCAAACCAAGTACATCCAATCACAGTGCAGAAAGCAATTCAAAAACAACCAATCATCATCAATCAAATTTGAAACCATCCAATCAGGAGTTGTCTAGTATATTTGAAGATCAAGTTGTATATTTACATGGTTTTACAGAAGATAAAATCAAACATTATAAACGATACATCATAGCATATCCTTTTATAAGATTAAACACTGCAGAGTCCAACCTCATTTTAAAAGGTTAAACTCTTGCTATTTTTGCAATAAAAAAAGGGCGAGGTATTTTGGGGTGAAAGGTGACTCTTGGAAGCACTTGCACTGTTATCAGAATTTTTCTGATCTTTCTTACCTAATCGCTTAGCAGACGACAAACCAACTCGCTATCGATTGAGCTATTCTATTACCACAATAAAGCCGCCAGTGTATGGTGCTATATTATCAATACAGTAGAAAATAGTGGAATCATGACCGCATCGTGTCCAGACCCCTACCTTGTGTGCTCACTTCTTCTACTTTTATTTGTATCGATTATTCTGCACCAGACACTGTGTCTCGTCTATTTGCTGCAGTGTTCCAAGAATAGGAGTTTATCTTTTTATTGTCCTTGACCTTGAAACTTTTGATGGTGATGTTGGTAGTAAGATCACAGATTATACAACTCGTATTGTAGTAGAGGATAATATTTCAACACAGGTCAGTACAGTTTACCCCATTTCACACTGCCTGGCTTGTCTTATATAGCTCAATATAGTTAAGAATGATCAGATTTAATTTTTAAAAATCAAGATGCACTTAAGATAAGATTTCAATTTTTCATTGAATGAGTTTTGACAATTTTTTCTCTCAAAATGTTAGAGAATATAATCTAAATATTTCTTAGGTTGTTTGACTTCAAGTTATAAATTTTATGTTATTATTTCAGGAATTATTAAACCTAAGAAAAGAAAGTAAAAGTGTTGCTATGGTTACCTGTCAGTGGCTAGATGATTGTATTAATAAGAGAAAGTTACTGAAAGTGGCGGATTATCTAGTAAAAACAGATTCACCTTGATTTACATTATCATATTTAGTATAATATTTTATAGAACTGGAATAAATGGTCAAATAAAGTAAAAACCCTTGGGATCCTTTCAATAGGCAGCTACATCATAACTGATCTTGATTTATACTCTCAGAAACACTGGCACAGGCATCAGAATTTTTCCTACTCTGTTTAGTGTAATAATCAATATTGCAAATCAATCATTTGAACAACCACACTTATCAATAAAGAGATGAGACTGTGGTTTACTTTATCCAAATAGCCTCAAAAGATGGAATTGAGTTAACTAATCAGTATAATGTTTTTTTGTATTATAATTAATAACGTTCACAAAGGGTGCTTGTCAATTTAGAGATTTTTCCTCAAAGTTTGTTGTTTAAAATATTTGAATTTTGCACATAATCAACAGTAGATCTTAATATTACTGAGACAGACAAATCATCCCACCAATAGACACATAGTTCACATAGCGTTTTCCATCCACTTTATTTTGCTAACGGTCATTGTCCCTGGATTACGCTGTTTTAACTTAATTTAGAGGTTATTCCTCAAAGTTTGCTTTACATTTATTTGATATTGAAAATATTTTAATTTCATGTCAAGTAGATCTGAATATTTTCACAGATTCCATAAGACAATTAGCCAAAAAAAAAACCCACACAGTTTTCTTTTGTACATGATTAGTCCCTGAATTATATTATTTTAACTGTGATATTAGTAATATTGTTATTATTTCATTATAAACTGTATGTTTTCATCTTTTGTATTTTAAAATAGTTTGTTATATTATTGTATTTGTTTGAAAATAAATATTTAAAATGATTTAATTTCACCTAATGATTGTAATTGTTTTGTGTTATAGCTGGCAGCTAAGATGAAATACCTTGCATTTAAGGGACAGGTTCGCCATCCATTTGACCAATCATACCTTAGTCTCAGAAACGGGAATGTTTTTAGCTGTGCTAATCAGTTATAGTGTTCACAGCTCACCGTTGAAATTTGAGCCTTCAAATCCATGTGTGTGGAGAATTATCTGCGTTTGAATGTTAAAATAACAACAAATGGAAAGTGAAATTCATATTGTTGAAGGATTTATGGGATTGTTATACTTTTGAAGACTATTAACATATATTCAAGACTCAAATCATCCCACGAAAATACTAAACTGACACAACAAAGCCACAATTACTTACAATATATGAAATTATAAACAGTGAAACTTGGTAAGGTAACTTTTCCTCAATAACATTAAAAGAAACACTGACTGGAATAGTCTTTCTGTATGAGAGAACTATTGGCTTAATGACAGGAGGTTAGAATGTTCAGAGAGATGAGATTAGATTGGTGAGTTGAACAGAAGATCATCAATGGATAAACTATAAAGAAGATAGAACAGGGTGAACAGATTTGAGTTGATTGTTAGTATTTGTGACTATGTGTTCAGTGAGTTGATTGTTAGTATTTGTGACTATGTGTTCAGTGAGTTGATTGTTAGTATTTGTGACTATGTTGTGACTATGTGTTCAGTGTTTAATTTTGTGCTGAAACGCTTAAAAATATGAACTGTTTTACAATATGTACTGTAAGGACATTTTATGAATTTGATGGCTTTAAGTGCTTGATTGATTTAACTGTAGCCTTTAGTCCAAAAATCATTGACAGAGTTGCGTCCCTTCAATGTATATTAAAATCATAGTCTGGAAAATCGAAACTACAACAAAACAAAACTGAGTTACCTGTTCTTGAACTGAACAATGTTATGAAACAGAAAAGTGTTTTGTAAGTCAAAGCGAAGAGTTAATTCGAAGAGAAAAGCCTTGATATTCGTTTTTCTTTTCTTGTCCAGCGGTGCATCACTCTTCCAAGATGTCCAGTATCTTGTTTCGATTGTTGCCACCCGCTAGGATTACAGTTTCGAGCATTGTAAGTATCCATGACCATGAACATTGAACAAGCTGCTATCATAAATGAAATGTCACAGAGTCAGTGTCAGTCTTTTTTGGATATGATCTTGATAATGGTTGGGTTGCTTATGCAAAAACGAAATGCATATAGATCTACAAGTGGCCGTACTTTTAATTCAGACACAGGTCTTGGCAAGAGGTTGTGGTAACCAAAGGCAAAGGGTTGGGAGAGGGATTAGATTGGAACTTTACAGTTTGTTTTTACCATATTTCAAGTGTCAAAACTTGTCTTGTACTTGTAGTTCTATCTCCAGCCCAGTTGGTGTGCGTTCTTTGCTCGAGTTTTTTCTTGGTTTTCTATTAAAATCTGTTTTAGCCGTTTTCTTGATTTTAGACTCGCCAAATCCCAAATGTTGCCAGATTATCAACAGGAGGAATTTATACACCAGAGAATACAGAGCCACCTATACCAGAATATCGTGAAAGATCTGGCGAAACTACAGAGTTAAAACGAGCCAGATTACTGTATCAGAGTAGGAAACGAGGAATGACAGAAAATGGACTTCTCTTGAGGTATACACTATCCAGGGATAAAAGCTCACAGAGACTAACTTATCTTAAGCTTCTTTTTTGAGGCTGTAATCAATTCTCCAACATATTTTCTTTCTATATCAGTAGAATTAAGTTAGTAGAGTTCTGTTGCTACTACTTTAGAGTATATTTGTTTAAATCATTTTCAGCCTTGGAGAGTTCCACTGTTGTACCCACAATCACTAAGACTCTTTCTTTTGCTCACAAACTGAAATGGATAAAGCTCTCCAGATATTTGCTTTGCCAGCAAGTTAAGCTCAATATGTGTTATTTCTAGAGAAATCTTTATCAACATCAATTCTGATATTTTGTGTCTTTCAATATCAATCTAACCATAAGTAACTTTTTTTTTAAAAATATTTTCAGTTCATTCGCTGCCAAGTTTTTAGATAATTTGAATGAAGATCAGTTAACACTGTATGATAGATTAATAAATAAACCAACCAATGATTGGGAGATCTACTACTGGATAACAGGTCAGTCTGTTATATTATACTATATTCTTGATATTAAAATAGGCTTTAACTCATATTTGGTCCTTGGTCAGAATTAGGTCCATCAAAGTGACCGACAGCTTATGGGTAATAAATCTGATTGTTGGCATGAAGACTACAAGATTACAAAATTGAAATAGATTATCAATGGCAGACTACCAATCAATAATCGATTAATAATGGAAATAATTCAATTGAGAAACCCTGTAAATTAATTTAAAACATGCCAAAATTATTTCGGTTGTTTTACCTAGCCCTAGCTTTAACAATGTTCTTTAAGGGTTGAATGTTTAAAGCACCGAAGGGACTGACAGAGGACAGTTGAAATAAATTAAGTACAAGACTGTAAAAACTATAATATATTTACATAAACACAGATAATACTAGCTTGTAATAAGTTCTATTGAATATTTTTGTTTTCCAGGAAACAAGCCGACCCCAGAAGAATATAATCATCAGATTATGGACATGTTGAAAGATCATGCTAAAAATAAAGACCATGATCTTAGACTTACTCAACCAGACCTTTATACATGAACATCCAGTCTCGATCAATTCTAAAATAACTATTTGCAGCCCTTTTGGAAATGTTGACTGATCGCTACATCTTGTTTCTTGTTAGATTGCCAGTGAAATCTCATGTACAGACTTTGTATTTGAAAGGAAAATCAAGTTTTAAGATTTAGATGAATTGTCTTAGGTAACCAATGCCATTGTGAGAGACAAAATTCCCAGTTTTTGTTGTGTGGAGACATCTATTCAATCTTTGTGTAAATAAATGATATATATATTAACATTAAAGCAGTAGTTCCCAACCTATTTCAGCCTTCACACCTCCATAATTTTGTATCATCCACATTTTCAGCATGTGATGGTGTGAGGTGCTCTCTCAATTCAAAATGAATTCTCCTCCCACACCTCCAGGGGGTGAAAACACGCTAGGTTGGGAACCGGGGCATTAAAGTATTAATATACACTGTCTATTACTTATATCACAGAGCTGCTCGATAGGTTCAGGATTCATATTCCACTTCTGTACCATTACTGAGGGCAGTATAGAAACAGATGGTACCTGTTTAGAACTATCCAATTGAGCCAATATTGGCAGTCAGATCCATATTTGATGGCACAGATTCAATTCTTAGTAGCTTTTATAAAGCATGACCCATCTCCAGCCCTTGTTGCACAAAATAGTAAAGAAAGCACGACACATTGAGTATTAATGTAATTTTATTAGAAAATTCTCTTCAAATCTTGGTGTATTGTACAGTAGTGAGTGAACATACATGAGATGAAAGCTTTTCTACTACTAGCTATTATATAGGAAACTGATTTCAAATAATTAAAACTATGCTTTTTATTAACAAAAACACAAGCCAATGATAAATAACATATTGACAATATTCAGTTAGGTTTTTCATATTCACAGTAGAGCATTTAGGAGATGTCAACAGTGGCCAATATTATTTAAAACATTATATAACATGAAAATTCCCACGTTCAAATTTTACGATATTGTCAGATTCTGTGGATAATTGGTGTTGACGTTCTGTACGAGGAATGTTAATCTATATTGAACAAAATACAAAAATATAACATCTAATAAAACAGTACAAATACAATAGATATTTCACTGGGATAATCTTGCTGGAGCTCTGAAAAAGCAATAAATGTTCCAATATTTTGCCGCTTTACAAACTAAAGCAGTACTACTTTTATCAATCACTGACAAACACCAGTCATATATATACATCAACTTACAAAAATAATAAAGAAAATAGATCAGTTGTCTGAAGAACACATAGCGTGAAACTCTGAGTAACAACATGATTCAGGTTCTGTTTTAATATTTCTATATCATTCTACAGTTGTCTGGAGATCACATAGCGTGAAACTCTGAGTAACAACATGATTCAGGTTCTGTTTTAATATTTCTATATAATAATACATACAAGCCTCGATAATAGACAGCACTAATACTATTATAATTTACTAACAAAAATATTTATACGAAATAATAACTATACTTTAGTGAAATGCAACAAAATAAAACCATTTTTATGATGGAAATAGAACCTAATGTGATTGACAAGCTACAAAATAGTTTTATATGCTAATATCACGATGCTTGTCTCTATATTTCTGATCTTTATAAATATTTTCACCTAAAATATTAGGCCCTACTTTTCATGAGAGTATTTTGTGCAAAGAAAATATCCCGCCTTTTTGATTGTAAGATTCCTGTAAATAGAAGGTTTGATGCCTGGAACATCCTGACTAAAATATCTTTTAGTTTTCACACGTCTGATTGGATAAAACAAATACAATATTAACCTATCAGAAACCATGTATCACTTCGTAAAGTTCGGATATTTCAGGCCTCAAGCCTACTCTCTTATAGAAACACTGGCCTAGAGGCCCAGACCAATTTTTATTTTTGTTTTACAGATCCTACCTCAATATTTAAGAAAAAATCTGTAAAACAAGAAAAGTAATTGGTATGGCCATATGAAAAAATACATTAATTTGAATTTACAGAGTAAGCTAATCCAACTCGATTATTTCCAAGATCGAATTCGGAGTAAAACGGTCCAAGGAAAACGTCTCCAAGGATCCATAAAGGACCAGCTGGTGGTGGAATATCCAGTCCGATAAATCCACTCAAACAAATCTGCTGTCCAGCCTGACTAATCTGAAATAAAAATTAAAATAAATATCAGAGTTTATGGTATTTTTCTTTTGAAAACTGGACTATTTGAAATGAGTTATAATCATAATAAATGTCTCGATGATGATGAAAGCTGGTAGATTAAATATTTTAGTCACTCTGTCTTCTTACTTTCATAAAAACATGGTTCCTCACTCTAATGATATTCATAAAATAAAAAAAATTGGCTTCACATTCTATTTCAAAATGATAATTCTTGTTAATTATTAAATTATTATTAAATTGTACACAGAGGAACAGGTCATGCTATAAAGACCTTTAATCAAGCAATAATATAAAAATATAACATATATAGAGACTAAGAAACATCCAAAATAAAAAAGGTTACAAGAAAAGAACATGCTAAAAACCTTATTCACGCGTCCGCCATATTGAATCCAGAACGAGGCTCATAACGCCAACCTTGAAAAGGTAACGTTATGTCACTGCATGACGTCTTTAAAGCCTCCATCTCCAAACTCAATAAACTGATCATATTTTACATCATTAAATTTGGAATTGATTCAGCTATTTAATGATACTTTCAGATGAATTTTACTCTCACACATTTCCTAGAAAGGGCAGTTTTCCTAGCTGTTTAGCGAGTGTTTAATGAATAGGCTATTCATTCATTTGACGTTGGCATCTTATCAATGGATGCCGTAATTTGTGTTATGAACTTTGCTTTCAGTGTCTCAAAAACGAGGCGTGAATAAGGTCTATAGTCAAAACCCTCTACATTGAGAGTAAAAATAGAAATAATGCCATAACCAAAGAGCCTAAAGAAACCAGAAAGATTTATTCTATGTTAAAGATAAGCAATAAAAAGAAAATAATTTATTTGAGGTAAGAAAAAAGTTCCCCATAATCAAAAATGTTAAAAGGAATAAAGAAAAGAAATTTATGTACCCCCCAAAAAAAAAAAGATAGTGGACCACAGCCATGCTGCATGTGGATGGTAAATATTCAAGATTTTGGGGCAAGGGCAATAACTCTGCTTCTAACGGTCCAGAATAGCTCAAATTCGATTCTATGAATATGTCTACACATCAAAAAATCTAGTTTTTAGAGCACATAGAGAGATGTGGGCGTATAAAAATTGTTCAAGTCATCCGATTGGTTGATTAAACAAAATTCATTTTAAATTTAGCGTTATAGACCAATCAGATGACTATATTTTGAAACCTTGATCTGAAAAAATTTTGAAAAAAGCGTTAAAGAAAATATAAAGGTCAACATGCATTGAAACTTAGCTAGTTAAAAATAAGAAACAGACTATAGAAAGAAAACATGCATTGAAACTTAGCTAGTTAAAAATAAGAAACAGACTATAGAAAGAAAACATGCATTGAAACTTAGCTAGTTAAAAATAAGAAACAGACTATAGAAAGAAAACATGCATTGAAACTTAGCTAGTTTAAATTAAGAAACAGACTATAGAAAGAAAACATGCATTGAAACTTAGCTAGTTTAAATTAAGAAACAGACTATAGAAAGAAAACATGCATTGAAACTTAGCTAGTTTAAATTAAGAAACAGACTATAGAAAGAAAACATGCATTGAAATTAAGAAATAACTTATAACCTAATGTTTATGTTTCCGTGCTGTAGAAGTGGAGTTAGCAAACCCAACTCGACTCTTTCCCAGATCAAACTCTGTATAATACGGCCCTAAAAATACATCTCCTAAGATCCACAAGGGTCCAAGGGGTTTAGGGACATCTAGGCCTATAAACCCACTGAGACAGATTTTAACACTGGCTTGACTGATCTGAAAATAACAAGTGGGGATGGAAGTTAGGTGACAAGGTGACATGGGCAGGTGAAAAAAACGGGGAGGGAGACAAGTTCTTGATCGATCTGAAATTAAATAGCATAATGTGCAGGTGATGAAACAAGGGAGTGTTCTGTGGCAATTCTACAGAGAAGCCCTCCGAATTGAGGCTTGCCCAGCTTTGGCCCCACTATTATTTTTAGCCCCCTTGACTATTCTCTGGCCCTGTCTTGACTAATCCATAGAAAAGCCACTGGGAGGGTTCTTTGCCAGATAAAGTTAAGTTTGGATTGTATGTCTAAAAGTCTAGGAAGCAAAGCAAGGAAATCATGAAGTTTCAATAATTTTAGTCCTCAAGATATTTCCCATACCAAAAAACTTCAGATGGCTGTGTTAAACATTCATTCAATCTGAAATAGTCTGGCAATTGCAGGCAGGGTTGTAATTCTAATACAAATTGTGGGTAATGGTCAGTAGAGGTTTTAGGGGCCATAATTAAAATTATCAAGCTACATACCACAAGCACGTAATCTTTTCCTTGTAATGTAAATGGTTTTCCTCCTAACATGAAGGTAATTGGTGGCAGACTGGAGATTTTATTACAATCCACCATATACTGAAAATACATATTAAATAAAAAATTTTAAAAGTCCTTACAGTAATAATTCTATTATACTAAAAGAGAAGGCAATCAAATTTGAAGATATATCATTCAAAATAACTGGTAACTTTGATAATATATGCATAAAAGACCATGACAGAGCTGTTCGTTTTTCATCAGCAGTTACTTCAAATAAATTATAGGATATGTATGAATCTTAATTCTACAATTAATGTATTGAGCACTTTTTAAACAATGAAAATATTATATTATTGAATAATCAACTATACATCCCATTACATATTTAATAATTGGCATGCATAGCTGGACTCTGGAATAGAAGACCTGTCTTTCTGTTTATTACATATATATTATTTGAATACGAATTTTGGTATTCAAAATCTAGCTGTTTCTGTACTGTAGCAATTAATTTCTTGAAACAAGTTTAGAATCGAGTTTAAGAATTTTTCCCTACCTCTCCCTTAGCTAATGGAGTAGCTCCAATCATGGTCTGTAACTTGGCAATCTCGTCGGAAGGTCCGGCTAGAAGTGAGGTACCAGTATCAGCTATAGCTTGACAACCTCCTGAACAGAAAGAACTGGCCTTGCCATCTACATTAATACTGAAATTGATATGATAAAATTAAAATTTACAATTAGAAATGTTAATCAGAAAATTTAACAATCACATACCTATCAAGGTACCTATGTCATTTACTTGCTGATTATTGATTCTAAAAATAAAACATCATAAAATCTAATTAAAATTTTAATCTGGGTCATGTGTAAAAGTCTAATGACCTTCAATTAGTGATCTTTCCTCATAATTCCAGTCGACCCAGCTGTTAATTAGGGTACTGATAAGATAATCCAGGAAAGATCAATGTTAAGATTTTTGACCAAAGCCCAGCTGGTAGACAGTTAAAAATTGTTTCTTTCTTTTTTACATCACTATTATTTGCGTATTCTTTGGAATACTGTAAAAGCCTTGCAGCTAAAAAACACGCACTTAGTCTTGAAATTTTCTATCAAACAGATTTAAAGAGAATTTGAAAATCTTACCCGTCCATCTTAAATTGCCAGTATCCCTTTCTAGTAACTGGTAAATAACTAAAACTACCATTATAATGATTGGGATCACTTCCACCAAATATCAACTCACCTCCTTCTTTACCTTCTGGATTTCTACAAAATAAAATACAAATTTTATTACAAAACTAGAACGGTTATTTCTTGAACCTCAGGATTTCGATACAATAAAACTTTTGTACGAAGCTATGTAGTGTACAATGGGGCATCCTCTAATAAACTTATTCCAAACTTCTTATTCTTATTACCCTCTTAATTAAAACCTGGATGTCATGTGAATTATTCTATTGAGATTATTTGATTATTTCAGCAGATCTTAAGAATTGGAGAAAAAGGAAAATCAAGTAAAATAACGATCACCAACCTGTCAAGATAAACAGAGAAAACTGGGTCAGGAATTAGACTTTGATTGACCATGTTATAGAAGACTGGAGTAACCTGGTCTACTGAGATCGTGTCAAAACCTAATCCCAGAATGCCATCAAATTTAGCAGCAACGAAGGTAATACCGGGTTGAGTGACAGCCTCGGCGAAGGTCTGATGTTTGACGGTTATTTCACCAATCTACAAAACAAAATGTACAGGAACTCAAAAGATGTTTTGTGACCGTAGAACTTTGGATTGGAAGGGGTCCCTGACAGATTTTTCTTCAATCCTGTATATTTCCACAAATTTTTCCCAATAGTTTTAGGCCTTGGGGGCATCCACTGAGAACAAGGGAAAATAAAATGGAGAGAACAAAACACTGTTGAACTTTTAAATTGCCATCAAATTAATTCCTTGAAAATGAGTTTTATGTCAACTTGCCTGATCCTAATTGAGCAAAAGGTTAATTTTTAACAATACATGACAACTCTGACTAAAACACACTCGGACAACTTTTCATAACACACTCGGACAACTTTTCATAACACACTCAGGCCACTTTTTTGAGACTCTGACCAATGACTATACAAACTCGAACCAGGTTTCATTACAGACTCTGACCACTTTTGAGACTCTGAGTGTGTGATGAAAAGTGGTACCAGTTTATGAAATATATTTAAAAAAGAGTGGTCCAAGTGTGTTTTGGTCCGACAGGTTAATGTTGTGGTTGAGTTAAGGAAGATTTGATTTGGGCCATTATAGAATGATCTAATACTCACTGTAACATCATCAGTACTCAGAAAACCAGTTAAAGATCCAGTACCATATTGGATGGCGAATTTAGTGCCGTTAGCCTTGTAGGTGGAGGATTTGGAGCTGTCATATTTATTGTGTAACACTGGAAAATAATAAAGAAGATATTTATATTTAACATGTGAATATTCAGGCCTTTTCTTGCTTTTTTCAATTTTACCAGACTACTTCTAGACTCTACATATACCCACATTCTTTATTCAAAGATTTAATTATAATTTTTAAAATCATATTTATAGGAACTGAAACATGTGCCTCTAAATCTGCCTCTATACCTGTCTCTATTCCAGCTTCTGATAGCCATTTTGAATTGAATATAGTTTTATGTTCTACTTTTCTGCACCATGTGGGCTATGAAGACAGGCAACTCCATGAAGGGTGCAATGAAGGAATTTTTGCCAGGGCATCAGCATAAGAATGCTGTTTGTCGATTTTCAACTGTTGAGGTACTTACCCCAAAATCTGATATCAAATAAATAATATATACTTACAACAAGCTATGTCAGTTAACTTGCATTTTTTAGACGGCACCCACAGATTAGATGATCCAGTATCAAAAACAACTTTAAAAGATTGTTTCGGAGTTCCAATACCAATAGCCCCGTAATATTGGGCCTGAAAATATACAAAATAAAAGATTAACTGCTTTCGTTCATAAAGGACTGGATAAAGACTTAAAGAACAACCCAAACATCTTCATTCTTGACAGGTTGTAAATAAATATTTGACATCTAGACTTTGAGTTATAGGGATTGTAAAGAGGTTTTTCTTAATTTTGAATATATCAGGGTTATTAATGGCTTCTATTTGCACCCTTCCAGCTTCCCGTCAGATGTTTGTGGTTCCTGTAATTATAGAAATACTCGACTCGACCCAAATTTCAACATGCCTACAACAGTAAGAAGTTAGTGTGGCTCTATATGCCGCACATGACTGAAGGGGCTGCTCAAAAAACCGATGGTCAATATCCTCTATCGGACATCAAGTGTACGTACACTGTTAGTGGGTCTAGTTTTAAAACTCCTAGACATCTACGTGTCTAAACTGAAAAACATTACAAAATATATAGTAAGATCTACATTAAGATTGGAACGACATTTCTACATAGAATAGAATAATCTACTTATTCCCAGCACAACAGGACATTCAAATAAATCTGGGCGAATCTACTTACATCTAAGTAGTTAGTCAAGGGTTCAGGGTCTGGTTTGGGGTCTCCTATGTTCATGTTAACAACTCCATTTTTAAACTGTAGAGGTTGATGATTATATCGACCATGTAATTTATCAATTGAAATATGTAAATCTTTTAATGTTCTTCGAACGGTCTTGAATTTATGAAGAGGAAGTCTAAAATAGAAAAAAGTTATAATATCATATATGATGTTATATGACTGTTAAATTTAAAATTTGGGACTAATATTAAAGCACAAATAGAAATGAAAAAAATTGGCACAGGAAGTTATGGCAGTTGGAAATTGATAAAGAGCAGGCTAATGCTGCTGTCCTGGCAATTTCCACCATTGCACATACTGTATGGCGTTGCCCGTTTAAGGTCACTTATTTTTGAAATTGCGACTAATATTAATTCAGGGAACAAAAGGAACCGGGCATTAGAGGGGCTACGAGCACCTGAATTATGAGTCTGTAAAATTAAAAATATCCCCAGCCCATCTCCCCTGAATACCAGTCAACCCGTCTACATGTCAACTCTTCAACAAAATATTATTGGTTAACCCTTCTACAAAAGTCAACTCGTCCACCCACTGTTTTCATTTGTTTCCTCATGCTCTGTTTATGCATATTAAATATAAGAAATTTCACTGATATTACAAATTTTAATTTTTGACTTGTCACATGACATGGCTCAAATGGATTCAGTTTGTCTCTGTTCAAAGATTGTCCTAGTTAAATTCTTTCAAGTTCTGACACCATTGTCAACTAGATATTGTAGATTGTTATAGGTCAAGCAACCATAATAAAACCCAAGCAATAATCATACTACATAGACATTGCAAATTCAATGCTCTGAAGTAATAATTGTTGCGGATCATTTGCAATCTTTTGATGTTTGTCATAAAAAATCAAATTATGATTTTTTGAAATAAAGACAAAACACATTAATACAATGGCAATGCAGATCAACAAATGTTCAAAACTGTCAAAAGTACAAACCTGATCAAGGCGTCTGAGACGCAGACAAACAGCAAAACAAGACTAAAATTCAACAACTTCATCTTGAAGGACGGTATTTTATGAAAAGACTGAACACAAATCAAGTTAGTTTGAACTTTTGGTTTATCGTGTGACGCCCTGGGAACATGGATTAATAATGATAATGTGAAGTTTGAACGTGAGTTTATTATTAATACATAGTTAGGGCCTGATACACCGGTCACGTGATCAGTCATATGACTTCAATATCACGTGATTGAGTCAGAATTTTAATCCGGATTAAATTTTAATTCGGATTAGGTCCTCCTATATACTAAATGCTATATACTTATATTTGGCCTAGTTCATTTCATTTCCTTAATTATCATAGACTAATGGGTCGAATAAGTTCAATGATAGCTTCATATACTTTAGTTTAAGTCTACATTAGAGTTAGCATTTATTATACCTAGGCCTATAGGCCTACATTATATTGCAATTTGGGAATTAGGGACTTAATGATTTTTCAAAAAAAGTGTGAATGAAGGCAGAAACAATTGTAAAACTTGCTACATGTAATATATAATATTAGTGACTACAGGTTTTAAATAGGCTTGATTCCCTACCCTTCTAATTGTCTTTTGATAGAGTATGTTTCAGGTCAGGGTTATAACTATAATGGTGTTTTAATTTCTATGCTGTATATTTTAGGGGTGTGGAGAGCTGATAAGCATGTTTCCTATGATACAGAGTTGGTATGAATGACTGAAGTCACATCTCAGTCAAATGATCTTGAAACAACAGTGTCTTGTGCTTTCATCATTTGATCTATCTTGTTATCATAAGATAATATGATTAAGAATATGAACTATTTGCTCTTATAATATTCATCTTGACTATTACTGGCCTTTATCAAGTGACAGTGGTATTATTAGGAATCATTGGTGAGGGGGGGAGGGGCTGAGTTTAAAGGGAGGTTAACAGGAAGTTCTTCCCCTATTTATAACGATGAGAAGTTTGAAACCTCTATCCTGGGGAGGAAGTAAGGGGGGTTGTGTGGTAGGGAAGGAGGGCTGGGATATGGATCTTACCCTCCCCACTGTCAAGTGGTAGGGGGGTCACTATGCCCATTTCAACATATTAAGTAATAGATATAAGTATTTATCAATTGTCTTGAAGTGTCTTTTTATCTAATCTTGATATATTCTGTCTATCATTTTAATACAAAGTTCAATATACTTGTTGAGTGAGGGGGGAGTATTGGGCTTTGTCTCGTATCATGAATACAGGTTTTGACATGGTCTTATTATGACGAATGGGGGCGTGGTTTCAACTTGATGGGGCCTTAGAAACACCACTGTTAACAATTAAATAAGAAGAAATTTATTATCTAAATAAATAATTTTATTATATTTATAAATATGGTGATTTATACAATAAATACAAATAAATACAAATAAATACAAATACCAGAAACAATCATTTTGCAAAATTAAACATAATATCATTTGATACAAAAATTAAATAGGAGAAACTTTTAGTTAATTCTGACCAAACTTTTGTTCTGTATTTTTATTAACTTTTAGATTTACTCAACATTCTGAATGATTCACCAATTTACAAAATAAACAAAACAAAATTTTTATTTTAACTAGATTGTGTAATTAATACAGCAGATGGATAAATTTAAAAACTTAACACAAAATTAAACTCATTTTTTGTGAAAAGGGGGTCCTGATAAAAAGTCAAGATGTAGATCTATAAACTAATTAATATCACAAGTCGACAAATGTTGCAATAAAACTCAATTTAACACAAATCAAACTATATTTTTATTTATTTGTGAAAAGGTCTGGATGTTTAAGCTAATTAATAAAATAAATGATGAATTAATAATAAAAATATCACAGAGATAAGATAAGGTCAACCATCATTTACTTAAAGGGATTGTAAAGATTGTATGTGTATCTGGGACACTGATAGCATCCATTTTCAGTCAGACGTCTGTGGTTCCTGCAATGAGGTCACTTATTGCAAAATATGCTTTATCACATTAGGCCCTATGAAATTTGTGATGTCATTGAACACTGATTTTTAGTGGAATTGCAGGAACCACAGACATCTGATTGAAAATTGGTGCAAATTGATGTTCGATACACATACAAATTTTAGAAAACCTTTTTACAATCCCTTTAACTTGTAAAATAAACTTATTGTAGTAGATCTACAATTTATATTTCCATAAACACAAGATTTCAACATGACATTTTCACAAGGCACCAACAAAAACATAATCTTAATAACAATAAGGAAACATTGAGCTAGACATTGCTTCTATTCAAGATTATTTCTAAAACACTGTAGCTTTAGTGAGCTTTATAGACACAATAACAAACATAAAAGTCTTTAAAATAAGGCAGGATATCACAGTCAAATTACATCAGGGAATAAAAGGCACCAACTTACAGCAAATAAGCGAATATCCACAGGGTTCAACAAATAATTCAACAAGCGTCTTCACAAAGATGTGGTGTTTCTATGTAGGGGGGAGGCCCTCCCCAAAAATTTAAACTGGCCATGGTTTTAGCTCCCAAGTTTGATTATGAATTGAATTTTAAATGCCTGGTGCTGTGAGCCCCCTGGTTAACTCAGTGGCCCATTCACCTAATGATTCTAGAAACGCCACTAATTAAGTAAACTACATTAGGAATGATTTGACCAAATCAGAATAAGGCCCAACATGTCATAATCATAATAATTTTCTTTCATTGTTCTACAAGTCCAAGTCAATTCTCAAAACTTTTCTACACAAGTTGTGGGAAAGGCATCATCTAAAATTTTCTTCATTTTCTTCTTGGCATCTTGTTGCTGTTTTTTCAGTCTTCGAATCTCTTCTGTTAGGAACGTTTCATTAAACATGACCTTGGCCTTGACACTGGCCTCCTGACGACCTTGAAACAATAGGCGTCTGCGATGAAATTCGTACAGCAGTAAAAGTTGGTCGTCTGTTAAATTTTCTACTCTCTGAAATAGAAAAGGAAGAAACGACTTAGGTTCACAAACTATCCTTTCTGCCAGCTGGTTCAAGGCCAAACCTTTTGGCATTGATCTTTCTTTGATTATCTGTACCCATTTACAGCTGGGTCGACTGGAATAATGAGTGAAAATGACTTATTCAAGGTCTCCAGACTTTCACACGCTTATTGAGATCAGAACCCACAGCCACCATTTGCTCGCTGTAACCAAGCAAATGTAGAGAACTAACGATGTAACTTGCTGTTCTGTAGAATAACGAGGAATGTTAAATTTTCCATTCTCTGTAAACAGACAAGGCTAAATACATTTTTAGGTCACTTCTTATCAGAATTGAAGAAATAACACCAATCAGGTCCAGCACAGCTACAGAAGGTTAAACTTACATCAGGCATATTTTTCGCTGTTTTTCTGTTTAAATCTTTATAACTTTTTAACATTTCACTTTTAATCTGAGCATATAAATCTTGAGGATCTTTCCTTGTGGATTTCTTCGACTAAAAAAATAAAAACATGCAAATGTAGATTTCAATTAATTCCTTGTCCTCATCCCATATTTCCCACAAAAAATACCAAATAAACCAGGATTTTCTGTCCGAGAGTTTTAAAACTTATTATCCAGGCAAACAGAGTATGAAACAGGTATTAAGTAAGATTATAAACTTACTGTTTTACTCCTATCAGATGACTGGTTACTATCTATTGGTATCTCATCTTCAAAATGTATATTTCTAGATCTTGGTGAGACATCTTCATTGTAATATAGGTTCCTCTATAAAATATCAAATTATTTAACAAAAATTGAATCCACATTCACCTGATTGGGTTTTTACTACTACAATTTTTACCCTGATGTTTAATTGTGGTATGATATATAACCAAACTAGGAAGGCAAGGTATGCCAGGCCCATAGTGAGGGGGTCCAGGGGAAAATTTTGAAAGATGACTTGTTGAGATGGCATAGTTCAGCCCCTCCTTAAAAACATTTGGCCAGGAGGAGATATGAGACACATGTTAGGCTACATTTTCTACTTTAATACCTCAGGTTTAGACTTTTTATTTTTAATATCATCATTATCATCTTCATTATCTAGTTCACTTTGACTATCACCATGACTACTATCACCATCAGAGTTCCCATCACCACTTCCAGGGCGCTAGTAACAGAGCAAAAGGTTATATAAATGAAAGCACCAAACCAAGAAGCAGACAGGTAGGTAAAAAAGGAGTTGGCTGAATAAGGAGCATATATAAAACAAATGATGCTGTAACCCTTTAAACACCGAGTGTAAATACAATAAAACATCATATATCCTTAACCCTTTAAACACCGAGTGTAAATAAAATAAACATCATTGCGTATATATTATGTGTCCGCTCGAGTTGAAAGGGTTAATTATGCCTTAATTATAGCCAGCTTAAAGTGTTGCATTATAGAATGGTCTACAATCAGTTTTTGCTAACAAAAGTTTAAGGGAAATATCAAGCAATCATACCAAAGCCTAGACAAGAAATTAGAAAATGTCATAAAGAGAGTCAGCATATGAAAAATTTTAACACTTTTCAAGAGTTTGGAGTCAGAATTGAAAAAAATTGGAGCTAGAAATGGCTAAGAAAATGGTAAATAAAGTACAGAAAAGAGAAGAAGCTCCATAACAACAAATTAAACAGTTTAACAAAGTTTACTCACTCTTTTGGAATTTGAACTTGAAGGTGATCTTTGTGAATCATCCTAAAATTAAGAGAAAACTCAAATCCACATGTGATCCTGACATCCAATCAGAAAGGAGGTGGCATCATGTAAAGCATGCAATGAATACCAGTGATGAAAAGGGTGGACAAGCCTCAATTCAACACCGGAGAGGCGGCTTTTTTTGGAAATAAATACAAACTGATTTAGCTCTGAATCTAGGGATAATAAAAGAGTCTAACTAACCTGACGTGAAGAGACTACAGTAGAACCATGAGATACATCACTAACACTATCTTCATCTGAATTATCTCCCTTCTATTAATATTAATATATAAACACCAGTTAGACAGTTAATCATTGCTTGTCACTTTGGTAAAAAAATTTTGCCAGGACAGCGGCATTAGCCTGATCTTTTTCGATTTCCAACTGTCGGGGGATCTTTAACGTGCACAGCCTGTAGCACACGGGGCCTCGGTTTATTATAGAAAATTAGAATAGTATAAAACTAACACAAATTCTATTCAACATCAAGCCTACCTTGGTTTTAGAGACTCTTGACTTTCTGCCATCTTTGTCTATTTTCTGTAACAAATAAAAAATTATACATGAATATGTATTGAAAAAAATAGTCAAAATTCGTGATGAACTTCGTCTAATATCTTGACTGTGATAGACATTTTTTTTTACACGGAATGCAGCGTTGCGACATACAAATGATTTTGATAGATTCTTGGCACGTGATTGATTTGTACAGTTTGAAACTATATTTACCTCTTGTCTAGGTGTGGAGGGTTTACTACTGCCATCTTCACTATCAGAGTAAAAACTATCTTCTGAATACTGAAACAGATTTAAAATAGATTTAAATAGAAGTGTCACATCCCTACCAGGGGCTAGGTTGAGGGGGGTTGGGGAAGGGGCGAGTAAAATTGTCAAGGGAGACTATGCAAACCAGGCATTTAAAAACTTATTAAGAAATGGGTTGAGCTGTATCAAGTGATGAGGTAAATATTTAATGCGATAAAAAACCTACCTGATCTTCATTATCTGAGTTATTTTTATCAGAATTTTGAGATCTGTCTCCATCTTCTGAATCCTGTACAGAGAAGATATACATAACTTTTCAGAATTTTTCACATATTTGAATCCAAACTTGAATAGAATACAGAAGTCAATCATGGAAATAAGATTGAGGTCACTATACGGGAATTATACGTGATAATACCTACAATATCAGTATGGAAGATTTTAATATTGCCCTTGAAGTGAAAAAACTAGACGTCAACAGTGCAATTGTAACAAACCAGATGCCAACTGAGAATATTGAGGGGACAAGATCCTTTTTAAAGTGCAGTAACAAATTAAACAGTAGAACATAGATTTGCCTTTGACCCATAAAGTTCAGTTTTTTACAAAGAAATATGGAAACAAACTTACAGAATATTGTTTCCTGGGTGTAGAAATTCTACTGCTTGTATCTGACCTAGGACTTCTCTGAAATAAAACCAAAATGTTAGTTAGTTTTAACAAATTACTTATTGTCAAAAGTTTAATTGCAAAATTGTAAGCTCCATTTTATTGCTAATGTTAAAATTACATAAGAAAAGAAGCAACAAAATGTTGGATATTGGAGTAACCAAGTAACAGATTTTAACATCAACATTATGTTTCACACAGCAGACACCATTTTTGTTTTTTTACCACAATAACTACCCAAAGCTTAAGTGGAATGTCCGTTTTCATATTTAATAGAAAATTTGAATGGCTCAACTTTACCTTCTCCTTTCTCCTTGTTGACTGTTCATATTTATCATCATCAGTCAGTTGCCGTGGTGATGACCTATCACTAAGGTCATCTATTAAATCATTTCTGCCAACTTTTGGAAATGCAGACGTCTGGTATGTGTCCTCTTTCTTTCTGTCATTCCGTCTGGATGGTTTTTCTTTACAATCTTTTTTAACTGGAGTTGATTCTCTACTTCTGCTTCTTGATGAAGATTCACGTCTGCTTTTACTACGAGAGTTATCCCCCCTCGATCTCCTTGGTGATGACCTTTCTGAATTATCACTATCTCTATGCCTTGATTTTTTGGAATGTTTTTTACGTGAGCCGTTGCGTTGAGTGCTGGACTGTTGATAAGAATCTTCCTCTTTCTCGCTATGTGGTGATTGATGTTTACGTTGTTGTGGTGATGAATCACGTTCGTCTGATTGGTGCCGTTTTTTCGAAGATTTTGCTCGTTGTGATTTAGATCTGTCATCTTCAGACTGAAAATATATTTGAAATTTCAATTCAAAATTTAGTCCTACCAATTTGTACACAAAAGCCGATCAAAGGAGCAAATTCGAACCCTTGTGCACTTTGGCTGTATTCCTTTGGGTACAATCCAATCATATGGCTGCATTGACAAACTTCCATGATACAAGAATGGTGGCCATGAAGTTCATGAATTGTGAAAATGACCTACCTCATGATGTGCTGGTAGATGAATCTTGCCCTTTGACCCCTGTTCTATTAATAGACTGACCACTGGTTCGTGACCCTGTTGGAGAGCAACAGCTAAGGGAGTAAAACCATTCTGAAAAAGACAATGAGGAAATATAATCTCTTCATTCTTCAAGACCAAAGTTCTTTTTAGTCAAATCTAGTCTTAGATACCTATAAAATATAACTTTTGGACACGTCTTCTGTCAGAAAAACCATACAGCCTGCATTGAGGGACATTTCTTCATGTCCAAAAGTGACATAATCAAACTTTTTTCCATAACTAGCTGCCGAACATCGTCTAAAAAAAGAGTTATGTACCTTAGTTGGTATATGTTGATTAGCACCATGATTCAGTAAATAACGAACTATTTCTTCGTGACCTTCTTGAGACGCCATATACAGTGGAGTGAATCCTTCCTGGAAACAACGCTAACATTTATACAAATATCATAATATAAACTTTATTTGTGAGGAAGAGCTCTGTTCCATATTATTCTATTGAATGTCTGTTTGATTCTATGACACAACCCTTACTCTTATTTGTAGTTAAAACTTGCTAAGAAATACCAAGTAAGCAGAATTAGTTATGTGGACTCTCCGAAAGAGATGTAGATTTGTCAAATATAAATACCAAGTAAGCAGAATTAGTTATATGGACTCTCTGAAAGAGATGTAGACTTGACAAATATAAATACCAAGTAAGCAGAATTAGTTATGTGGACTCTCCGAAAGAGATGTAATCTTGACAAATCTAAATACCAAGTAAGCAGAATTAGTTATGTGGACTCTCCGAAAGAGATGTAATCTTGACAAATCTAAATACCAAGTAAGCAGAATTAGTTATGTGGACTATCTGAAAGGGATACAGACTCCACACTAATTGACATCAGGCGTTCCAGTGAAAACATACTTGAGATTGGGTGTTGAGTTTAGCGAAATTAGCAATCAGCAATTTGACCACATTGAGATGACCTGCCAAACTAGCCATGCTTAAAGCTGTGTTCCCTCTCTGAAAATAAAAAATTTTCAACAGCTATAATAAAGTTTGAGCCAGATCAGAATAGATATAGTTGCTTAAATATTTGATTTACCGGCTGGTAAAGGACAGACTTTTTAAATCAAACAGTCAGATGCGCCATCTTTTTGACAAATTGAAGCTTAGTCTCAGAAACGGGAATTATTTTAGCTAAGCTAATCAGTAATAGTGATAAGAGCTCACCGTCAAAATTTGAGCCTTCAAATCCATGTGTATCCAGAATTATCCGTGTTTAAAGTTAACATGGCGACTCGTCTTTTCTTGTTACTCTTCAAAATAGGAAAGTGAAATTCCTAGTTTGAAGTATATTTACCTTAGTTACAGCGTGAATATCAGCACCTCTTTCTAACAAAGTTTCTACAATATCTACGTGTCCTTTTTTACTGGCTAAGTGTAGAGCTGTTAAACCATTCTAGAATAAAATATACATGAAGCTTTAGATCTGGTTTTCAGGGGCTTGTTATCTAAAATCTAACACATACCTTATACATGCATATTCAGGATACGAGAGATCTGATTGGACCAATCAAATTGTTAAAGTTTGTTTCAAGAGTGACACAATGTTGCCTTTTTTTGTTTGTGTTATGAGCCTCATTCTGGATTCAATATGGCTGATGCATGATTAAAGTCTATTCCCAGCCTTATGCCTGAACTATGTGATACATACCAGGCTTACTCCTAGAGATGTCCCTGCAACTATTGTACTCTTTCAACACTGTATACAATACAGTTTTATCTTACTTCTTATTTTCGGCTTCAGAAAGTAAATTTTCAAAAACATGAAAAAACACAAAAAGATTTGGAATTCACCTTATTACTTCTGTTCGTATCTTCTAATTTATTGATATATTTAATAACCTCTTTCAGATTCCCTGTCTCTGCTGCTTGTAGTAGTTGTACAATATCTTCATTCTGTAATACAAATACAAATAGTTATATATTTAAACCAAGTTAACAATAATCAGTTTGAATCTAAAATTGTATTCCGAATTGAAAGTCATCTTCACTCATAATGCCAGTCGAACCAGCTGTAAATAGGGATTGATAATCTGGGAAAGATCAATGCCAAGAGGTTTGGCCAAGGACCAGCTGGTAGAAAGAATCCTTAACTGTGAACCTAAGTTGTTATCTTTGTAAAATATAATTCTTTCTATTCAGTAATATCAAGACTAGACAAAGATAGGTAACCCCTCTTACCCGCATCACTGGGTTGAAAAATCCAAAGGTATAAGCCCAACCTAAGCTGGGATTGAACCCTGGACTTCCGTATTAGCGAGCAAGGAGCTAACTCACTGAGCCACCGTGGCTCACCTCAATCGACCTTAATGGAAAATCAAAATTGACTTGAAAAAACAAAAATATATTTATTCTCAATACTTACTTCTTCACTGTCTTTATCATATTCAGACTGAAAACAAAAATAAATTCTCATCAACAAACATTTCATGACTGATAATGGAAAACCATTCGTATTTGATAAAAAAAAATAACAGCTTTAATTTGCTATCTTTATTAATTCCTCATGATTATCATTCGTCAACAATCGATTAGCAGTCATTGAAAGTCAAATGATGCTACTAATCATTTCCCAATTGAAAGTCAAACGACGTGGACGAATAATTTAAAAGGCAATCACGCTGTTTTTTGTTTGTTTTGTGTTGATTAAGAAAAAATAAATTTGAATGTCATAGTCAACAAAACAATTATAAAATTAATTTACCGGGTAAAAATCTTTTAATCATTTGACATGTTTTTTTTAAGCCACATTAAATATGGTGTAATCGATTATACCTATCTCCGATTATTTTAATTATTATTTTCTGTCGATTGCCCATCACTAATTAAAATTGCTAACTTACTGAGTATAAAGGAGGTGTTTGTCTATATCGTGTTGGACTAGTCTGAGATTCAGGGTTGTCTTTATTTTCTTGAAATGGTTCCTGAAAATTAAACAGAAACTATAAAAATACAGGATCGCATTCTCTCTTTTGTTCTAGTGAGATTAAAGTTAGGTGTCTTATCAATATTTGTTATAAAGACAGAACGACAAGACCTGTTCAGGTATTCTACAGCTCTCTTTTCTCAAGGATTTTTTCTTCAACTCAATAAAAACTACAACTGTATTGTATACAGTGTTAAAAGGGTACAATAGTTGCAGAGGCATATCTAGAAAATGCCTGAGGGTGGTGTGCTCTCATGAGGTGAGGCCCAAAGCTACCAAAGACCCATAGAAGCCGACAGATTTCAGATTGCAGATGAATTTTGAGCATTTAGAGGGTTTAATTTTCAATTAAAAATAAGATCTTTCACAGGCCTGAAGAGACTAAATATACCACTGAATAGTTGATAAATCATACAAACCTGATAAAATGTCAGAGCTTCACCCTCTGGTGGTTGTATGCCAGCATCAAGGGGAGGGAACTCTGGTTGTATAAGATAATTAGGTTCCGGTATATGATGATAACGTACTGCTGGGGGTTCTGGTGGTAATTCTTCATAGGGATTGAATCTGGCCATACGACTATGGACAACAGGTTGCTAGAAAAAAACATGACTTTCTTTTTAATCATACTGTAGAGCTACTGTATTTTATTAGCAACATAACATTACATTAATGGTAAATCCTGAGATCACATAAGCTAATTTCTAATAAGTCAGTTCAGAACTATCCGTGGGCATGCCCAACACGCTTGATCCCTTCTTCCGCCTCAGGAAGTCTATAGCCAACGATGGAAAAAGGATATAATATAACAGGGTTAACTACATTGAGAGTTATCTATTTATCATTTAGAACATTGTTGAAATCCAAGTTTTCTCTGTTCTCTGCGTATGTCTGACGATTGTTAATTTGTAGTTTGTATTTAACTGCCATGTTAAATCGACGTTGTTTATTCTGATACTTCCGTACTGGCTCATTGACTCATCGTTTATATATATATATAAATAAGTTAGTAAGTATTCATCAATTAATACCTGTATAACTGGAGCCTCTCTAGTAGGTTATCATATTCAAATATACTCACCGAATAAATGCTGGTATTCATTCTGTCTGATTGGTGGAGATTATTTAAACTTGGTGGATACGGACTCATATAGTCACCAACATATCTGAAAAACAAAGATAACTTTGATAGTGCATTAAGATTTATCACTAGGGTAATCTTTTTGTCTTTTAATCAGGGTCCATACTATGAACACTAATTTCAGTGGCAATTTGGCTCATAATGACATAATCCAAACAAGGATAATGTTTTTTTCAAAAGTACAGGTAACCTACTCAGCATTTTAGTCAGGTACCAAATGCATACGTAGCCTACAGTACATACGCGATAAAAATTTAAAATTTGATAAACAAACAAAATATTACAAAATATAACAATGTTTACATGTTGTTAGGTCGCCATCTTATTCTATTGTCGTTATTTCAATTTACGACAATCAAAAACAAAATCTGTCAACCAGTCTCGGGTCAGTCTCGATCAATTAGTCTCGATCAATTAGTCTCGATCATTCAGACCACAGGCCCTTGAAGTTCAGTCAATATTAATAAAATATGGAGAATGGGGAGAAAATAGTGTCAACGTATAAAAAAAAGAGAAGGCGTCCAATGGCATAACAAGCACAAACATAAACAAAACTGTTTATCTGTTGGTGAAAGACTTCTGCTTTACTTTTTTGGTTTTTTTGAAAATACTTACTTATGACTCCGGTTTACTTTTTATTAGAAATCAATCAATTAGTACTCGCCAAGGAGCACTTTTGTCTTGTTTGGGAAAATAGTCAACTTCCATGAGCAAAAGTTCCAAAACGCCATAACACTTATAGTCTCCTGTGAAAGTAACATAGATGTATACTCTTTTTAGCAGTTGAGTTGTTAATAATGCCTACCTGAGATCTGTATGGCTAGGAGCACTATTAGGATGGCCAGGAAGCCCATTGTGACCTGTCAGCCTTGTTTGCTGCATCTCCATAGGATTCGGATAAAACGATGGAAGATGGTGATGACGTCCTTGATACGGATGTGGCCCGAACTGAGGATCGTTCTGGTATTGATATCCAGGAACGGATGACGGATCGGTATAGTTCAAGAGATCTTGAGCGTTGGGTACATGGTACATGGAATGTCCTTGGTTAGGGCTTGGAGAACTTCGCTGTCTTGGAGTTGGAACTGAATACTGACTACTTGTCATCAAAGGAACTGGAACTTCTCCCGGTAAATGATGCGGTTGAGATGCTTGCACTGTTGGTTCTGCGTCTACAGTTATGGACGGACCGGACTTGGTCGTAGTGTTCGGTAAGATTGATATCTCTTCTACTTTGTCCATTTGCGCTCCGACATCGCAACTCGTCTGCGTCTTCATGTCTTTCATTTCCGGATCGGAATAAGGAATAGGTCTTGCTGCTTTAGTTTCCTCTTCAGCGGCTACTATCGACTCAAGATCAGACGTCTGCGTGTCCGCCGTAACTGTGGACACGTCGGGGCCAACTGCGATTGAAGTAGTAGGAATGCTTTCGCCCATGAAGAGCTGGTTTGAATAGCCTATCGGAGCTGTGTTTGATAAATTGATACGGGCAGCTTGCAGCGGCTGATGAACCACTGGATGAATTGCCTGGTTTGGATATTCTACGGGAGTCGTGTTTTGTGGATTAATATGCGCGGCTTGCAGCGGCTGATGAACCACTGGATGAATTGCCTGGTTTGGATATTCTATGGGAGCCGTGCTTTGTGGATTAATATGCGCGGCTTGCAGTGGCTGTTGAACTACTGGATGACTAGTCTGGTTTGGTCCAGCTCGCAGAGAGTCGCCGTAGTAATACGCATTTGTGTCAGTCGGATAGTCCACGAATTCTCTCCCTTGATGAAAACTTTGGCCATTTATAGGAATCTGGTCAGAAGGAGCTAGATTCGTTTCTGAGTCAAACCGAATAGATGTCATTGCGTGACTAGAAGGGACGCCCCCTGGATGGTAATATGACCCTGGATCGCTGTATTCACGGCCAAACTCATTGGTAGGATAAGTACTCCCTGGTGTGTCTACTTCCAATTCTTCTACTATGGAACACTGGGGTGAATAACAGGGATCGAACTCGACTCCGCTAGAAAATCGACTCCTAATGGGTGTCTTCTTTGTTCTTGGAGATTCCGAGACTTTGTGCTGTTTTTCAAGTCTGTAACCCTTCGGATGTCTAGATGTCGGAGAGATATCAGTGGCAGGAACGACAGAATCAAAAAATATTTGATTCGTGTGTCCTTCAAAATGGCGTTTTTCTTGCGATTTCGGCACCAGAATGGTAAATTCTTCCGAGGCATCTGTATGTTCGCTGCCATCAAAAGATGGATCGTTTCGTTTCTTAGTCAAATAATAGTAATCCTTTGGATTTGAACGAGTTGATTTTCTGGATTTCGATTCCTTTCGTTTCCGCGGTGATTCATCCCGACCGACAGACGATCTACTACCGCGCTCTTTCTTTGCCGAGTCTCTACTTGATGTCCGTCGTTTAGGTCTAGGTGCACGTTCATGAGTCTGTACTTCTGTAGAATGGAACACTTCATCGTGCAAACTTATCTCGTCTGTGGATTGTCTTTTCGGGCTGGGCATCTCGGCATTCTGTCCAGTAGGTATATTAGTCTGGCGTTCAGCATTTTGTTGAGGAACCGTTTTCTTGTGAGTACTTTCTCGCACAGATTGTCTTTTAGACATGGAGTTGTTATTACCCATGGAAGTTCCTGGAGATTCCCGATTCCGGATCGGAACTTTCCTATCAGTCCGGGGAGAATACTCTTCCGGAAGAATTTGACTGTTTTTAGATGATCTTCCAGAAATGATGTCACCCTTTTCCATATCCACAGCCAAATTGTGATCTTCGAGTGATTCTCCTCTCTGAAACGAAAAATAATCAAAGGTTAAGTC